GAGCGTTCGGTAGTGACGTATCCTTGGCCATCTTGTACCGTGGTCACCACCTGTCGCATGACCAAGCGTTCGTGGCTTGAGCAACTTGAATGTAGCCACTTCAGCGATTACTTAGAAATCGCTACACCACACTGGCGTTGACTAATTTCTCGTCAGCACTGAGAGTAGCCCCTCCAAACGGACAGCACAGTACATCGTCACGTCAATAAGCATGGTCCCCAAAGATCCGATAATTAGTAAATCTTTCATCGCTGCGAATCTTCTCAGAGAGCTTTGAGTGACGATATAAAGTTATGTCGTGGTTTCTTCCGGGAAAGGGACCACAAAGATGGGAAATTAATCGGTCAGGCGTGGTCAACGACTGAAATTTTAGGGCGTTCTTTCTGCGGTGACCACTATGCACTGCTTGTTGACTCATGAGAAGTCGTCCCCATCGATGTTGCTGGGGTGTAGATACCCCGGACAGTTCCATCAACAAAACTCCACACGTTCGAAAAGTGAGCGCCTTTTTGACAACGGCCTCTGCATACTTCTCCAAATGTATGGCTGCATATTTGCGGTAAAATGCGATTCACTCGGTGTACTTTGTGTCCAGGTAGTGTGTACATGAAGATATTTGACTGACCACTATCCCCGAACGTCCGGCAAAAAGTGGACTCATATCCACTCAACGCGTTGGAATTGCTAGTTTGTACAACATCACACACAAGGCTTCAATTCCAGTTGCTGTTGTTCCTTCTGTGGTGCTAACACCCTCGAGCTTAAAAAGCGATAACCAAAGTAATAAGCTGGTCCTTTGAAAAAGCGAAATTGCTGTGTATATTCTTCTAATGTTGGACGGCACGCAGGGAGGCTTTTCAACGTCATCGGGAATGACTGACTCCAAGTACGCTCGGAGTATGGTGGCTTCATTAAAGCGATCAAGCTCAATAGCATGGTAGCAGCGCCGGAAAAGAAAGGCGTTTTTTTGGTGTCGTGGTACGCCTTTCGTGAGGTTCCGAATGTAGTGGGCAAAGTTAGAATCAGAAACTTGTTGGTTCATGATACTTGGAATAGTGTAGCCTTTGCTGGTTGCGAGGGCGTCGTTGGAGTAGAAAGAAGAAGTTTGGTGTGCCATTCGACTGCGTGCCATTTGACTGTCGGTGGGTGATCTCCCCCAATCAGTTTTACAGGACAGAAAATTTTATTTAGATCTTTCACAGAAGCGTAAGATGTAGTCCACAAAGCGTAATTTCCTTTCAAGTTTGCGGGGATCTAGGAACTCACACGGTCGGTTTACCGTATGATTTTCAGCGTTTAGGTCTTGACAAACCGACAAAAGCAGAATTGAGGGTTCTACTAAAGACCTCTAATGACTTGAATTTGTATGTGGGCAATTGTCCTCCCGCTCCTCAAACAGACCCAAATCGGCAAATTTGGACAGAACTCACAATATGCTATCTAAAAAGAATTATGTTCGTGGCATAATTTTCATAGTGTCTCCTGTTCTCCAACAAGGCGCGAAAGTATTATGAAGTTTGTCACGAGTAACAAAGAAAAATCGTGACCTTTGTCCTGGATTATGGGGGGATCATAGTTATCATGGCGTGAGTGTAGTAAACACGACGACTAAAATGTTTTCGTCGGTTGTTACTAACTGTTGTAAATAATAATAATTAGCATGTAAATGTGTTTACTGGCAACCATACTGTAGTTTCTCCATTCTTATTTTTCCATTGGTACATTCCACCGGGAGCATTTGGTTCGGGAAAGTAGACAGGTCCAGATGTTGCTGCTCGATATACATACTAAATACGATTGTAGCGAAGGAAATGTGTCGATACATTACAGCATTTCAGGTAGATTTCTTTAAGCTAGTGAAAAAGCGAGGTCTAACTTGGTAAACGGTATCTAATTTTTTTACTAGACATCAATTATGTGTAAATACATTCACCATTACAGAGGCCGACACCAGCGAGGACGCTTTTTTGTGTAACTATATCAATCTGCAAATTTTTTGATGCGGTTTTCAGGTTGGGCAAAACTTGTGCTAATCCTTATATGTAAGAAACGGCAGGGAAGCTGCATAAACTGCGTCAACAGTTTGAGTTTCAAGCTTGCCTCCTAGACTTTGCACAACTGTAACCAATAATATAGCTCTATTTGCATTATATAGGTTTGTGAAAGCTAATACTGAATATTTGCATTATATAGGTTTGTGAAAGCTAATACTGAATATAGAGGGTTTAGATTTTAAACTTGATTAAAGTAATGAGCAGTCTGAGTTGAATTCTGAGAGAAATACTCGACAAATCTTACTGAAAATGCAAACAAATAGAATCAGCAAAGCAAGACCTTTCGATTGGGGTATTATAATGATAGGGTAAAAAAGCGACTTGGATGCTGTCGACCTCTGTAAACTTGGGTTTATTGTATGGCACTCGACCTCGGAAAGATTCATAGTACCTCTGTTTGTCAGGAAGAGCTGCTATATATGACATATCGCACTTAAGCTATATTGAAGAGATTTTTCACAAACTTCAAGTTAGTTTTTGTCCTACTAGCTGGTTTCAGGGACAAAATTGGCAAAACTCCATCATACTTAAGCGAGTTTTGGTCCTTTTTTCTAGGACAAAAATGTTGGGGTTATTGCACTGGATGCTTCATTTTTAAACTTACCGTGGAGGTAGAACAGTTTGCCCATTGCAAAAATGCAACGTTTTGTCCTTGGAATACGTGAACCGGTCCACATTGATCGCGGTCCAACAACAACGAACGGCTTTGAGTTACCGATATAGTATATGAGGGAGTTGCCAACTAACTGTCGCGAATTCTACGTATTTTCCCGCAGCAACATGTATTCGTTACTACAGCAGGTCAATGCATCGGTCAGGTGTACTTTGTACAATGTGTTGCAATAGTGTGTTCAAATGATCACGTATTTTTCTGTGCATTTGTGGACTATTTGACTAACACGTGAATATCAGACCATACATACAGCTGTAAATGTACCTGAAACATTGTCTGCTCCTGAAAACGAGTACGGTTAATCGAAGTTGTTGCAAGTATTCGGTGCAGATACTGCGGCTGCGAAGTAGGTGCAGGAGATGCTTTGGAGGTCTAATTTAATCTTGAAAAACTTATCTTGTTTTGGCTTAGAAATTAGAACTTCTTCTAACCCCGGCCGGCAAGTTGTGATTTGTTTCGAGGCACTATTCCTTCCCTCCACACTAACTCGCTTGAAATTGGCGCTTAAGCGATCTACAGCTGATGAGGGCATATCATTCCAACACAAGAACTTTGGTATGGCCAAGAAGAAGGTGCACACGGAGTGTACATTAGTATTTTGACGTCAAACCGAAGTAAGAATTTCCAGGAACAATTAATACCACCACTCTTCTCAGGTTAAGCTCCAACAAATTTATTATTTTGTTGTGCTAATATTAATAAAAAAAACTCAGTTCCATGATCCTGAGTACTGAAGTAGTTTTTTGTTCTAGTTGAATGAATGAAGGTACATTTCAGAAAGTGAAAAGAGCTATATGGAGCTTTTTTTTTAATCATGTACGCTACACTCGAAGTTGCGTGTTTTATTTCTTCTGGAAATTGAGAAACCGCATCGCCAAAAGTGTCAAAACTCGGATGAAAAGCACGATTCCGAACATGATGCCGCAGTTTCGCCAGATGTGTTCGTGCCTCATGGCAAAGTTGACTTCCAAGTATTCTTTCACGATGATTCCTTCGGGCAACGATGGTGGCGCGTTCGCCAATTGGTTGCATCCGATGGCGCTGCTGCTTTGACTTGGGCAATCGCCAAACACGATAGTGGCCAGAGCGGACAAAATGTATGTAAACGGGTTGACGTGGTAGATCCATTTGACGCCTGAAGGCAACTCCGCAGCGGGAGGACTGAAGCCCGCGAACAAAAAGGTAAACAGGTTCACCAGCATTCCCAGAATTTCCGCCACCTCCACATTCGGAGTCATGAAAACCACGAGCTCGGCCAGATACTCCTGGAACAGCACACCCAGCGATAGAACGAGGTAGAAAGTGAAGAAAGATTCAGCACCAGTGAAGCCGACAACTGGGTAAAAGACCGCCATGAAGAGCAAACAACCTGCGAAAGTGTACGGGATCTCAATAAGACTTGAACCGAAGAAATACCAGAATGCGTTATACGTTTGAGCCGCGCGTTCGCGATAGAATGCCGAGCGTTCCTTCGCTACGACTGGTACGAAGCCATTGAACGCGATAATCCCGATGAATCCCAGCGTGGAAAAAACCATTCCCAATCCAGAGTTGATGCCAGCGTACGTGTTGTAGTCCGTGTCAAGGTACGTGATGCCAGTGAGAAGACCCAGCCCAGTCCACACAATGAAGCGCGTCAAATTGTACGACAGTGTTCTCCAATACATGTTCGCGAATCGTAGAAGCAAGAATTTCATCTGTGTGAGCTCCGTAGCAGCACGTTTGTCGTCGTATACAAGCGGTGGCATCGATGGTGACGGTCGAGACACACCTTCACGATCCAGGTTTGACTGCAAACGCTCGTGCAGTGCACTGGAGTTGAAAATACTCACAAAGTCCGTCTTGTCACCGTTCGAGTTGCCGACACCGGCACCGATCACGTCCAACATCCACGACGCCGGATTGTAGTTGTCCCGTAATTTATCCACTCCTTCAATCGATTCAAAATACTGGATCATCTCTCTTGCATTCTCGCCCAGTTCACCGGCAAAAACCGTCTCACCTCCACGTTTGAGCAGCAGCATGCTGTCAAAGACTTGGAAAACTTCAGCTGAAGGCTGGTGGATTGTACAAATCACTGTTCGACCTGTGTCTGCCACCTTGCGGACTCCGTCCATGATCAATTTCGCAGACCGAGCATCAAGACCACTTGTGGGTTCATCGAGGAAAAGCACACTAGGCTGCGCTGCTAGTTCCACGCCGATCGTCAATCTCTTCATCTGCTCCATCGAACTACCACGAATGATCTGATCAGCGATCGAAGTGAGACCCAGGAGATCCAAACAAGTGTCCACCGTGTTGTACTTATAACTGTCCGGCACATCAGCACCCTGGCGTAAGAATGCACTAAACGTCAACGCTTCACGGATCGTAGACGACTCGGAGTGGATGTCCATTTGCTCACAGTATCCAGTCGAGCGACGAATTGCGAGATCGGTAGCTAGGTGTCCGTTTAGCAGAATCTGTCCCTGAACCTTGCCACCGGTTTTTCGACCAGCTATCACGTCCATCAGCGTTGTTTTACCTGCACCCGAAGACCCCATGAGTGCAGTAATAGTACCAGGAAGAGCATATCCGCTAATACCCTTGAGTAGATCGATGGTCTCTTTTGGGTTGGCTGGGTCAGGAACAGTGTACCACAAGTCCTTGAACGCCACCGTCACTGGGATAAACTGTTCACTAACTGCAGCCACGGGTACCACAACTTCTTCGTCTTTTTCCTGGCTGCGTGGCGTCTGAGCGAGTGAATAATTATCCGATTTCGAGTTCTCAGGAATGATTTCGATGTCTAGTGCCACGTTCTCAGGTTTTTCATATCGATAATACTCCAGCGCAACGAATGCACAGAACAGGAAGAAGATGTAGGAAGCCGCCATGAAGACCATACCATACCAAAGCCAATATCTCTCCCGTGGTACCTCGTACGTGCTTAGCGCGTACTCGCCCATTTTCATCCCGTATCTAGCACAGTAGTCGATACCATCGTACACACAAGTATCAAAACGGGATTCCGTGTACTGGTTGACTGCGATAGCTCGGACTCCCCAGCCCACAGGATTAATCCAGTAGAGCCAAATGAGATAATCCGGAATCTGGTTTTTCGTGATGGTAAATCCAGCAAACAGGATGAACAACTCGACAATCACACCGGAGACAGGATTCGCCACATTGACGTTCGGAGAAAAACTCGACAGGAGGAAGAAGAAGGCGCCTACTGTGATGTTGATCAAACACAACATCACCACGAAGAGGATAAAGCTTCCCGCCGAGCTGACAAAGCCACACATCCAGTACACGATGGAGCTGAATACGATCGTCTCCAGTATGATTGGAGGTATCTGACTGGCGGAGAAGGATAGCACGTATGACGCGGTCCGGAAGAAATTGGCACGGCGTTGCTTGTAAAACACCTCACGGGCGGCTATGATCATCGGGATCTGCGCAGCCAAAGCCAGTGACAAGCAAAGTGTAGCCTCAAAGATGATGCCCATTACCAACTGCGGATTCGCGGGGTCGAACTGGTAAAACACGCAGCCATACAGCAACGCCATAATAGTATTCATTGCCAGTCGCCCGATGAGACCCGACATCTCTCGACGCATCATTGTCAGTTGTCGGTTCATGAGCAGAGCAGTGCTAGCCCAAAAGCTCTGGTAGAACTCTGGCTGATCACCGACACGAGCTTTCTCATGGTGAACAAGACTGGAGCGAACGGAGTCTTCCACGTCTTTTAGGACGTGTGCGAAGGCAGACGAGCGCTCGAAGGCAACAGCAAACTCGCGAGCAGTACGAGGAACATCACTTCTCACTTCATATTGCCACTGCTCATTGGTCCCGAGATCCATCAAGAAGTCAGCGACGTCACGTTGAGGTGGGCGCTTGAAGCCAAGACCTTCAAAGTATCCCAACGCTTCCTCACAAGGACCATGGTACATGACGCGACCTCCGTTCAGAATCATCACGTTGTCAAACAGCGCGAAGAGTTCCGGTGACGGCTGCAATAACGAGATGACCACAGTCTTGCGGAACTTCTTGGCGATACTGCGCTGCATTGTGATGATATCGAAGGTCGCTGCACTGTCCAGACCAGTGCTGATCTCGTCCATCATCTTCACATACGCGTTGCCGAACTCCATCTCGCCAGTCGTCACTCGCTTGCGCTCGCCACCGGACACACCACGCAGCATTTCATCTCCCACAACGGTGTTCTGGCAGTTTTCCAGTCCGAGTTGTTGGATCACGAGGTCTGGATAGTGCTGGTACATGGCTCGAATCACCTTCAATGCCTCTGCGTTTTCCTCCGGAGTGCCATGCACGAACTGTTTCTCCCAGTACTCGGCCAGATCTCCACCACAGCAAGCGTGTGCGAATTTAAGCGTCTCCTTCGCAGTCAGCAAGGCGTAGTGTTCATCCCGTTGGGGAACATACGACACCAACTGTGGCAGGTGCTTGCGTACCTCGGCAATGGGAGTTCCGTTGTACGTCACCTCACCCTCAATGGTGATGTTCTTGTCCGCTGGGAACCGTCCGCTGAGGAGCTTCATCAAGGCCGACTTTCCCGATCCGGGTTGCCCCAGTACAAGTGTAATTGTACCGGGCTTGAAAACTCCGCTCACATTCGTCAAGATCTCCTTCCTCACTGTATGTTTACTAGCGATCACACCACGAACTGCTTTCATCACCTCGTTCGGGAGAGTAGGCAGAGCCGTCTTCAATTCGTTCTTGTCATTCACCGCGATGTCGGCCGAGATCGAAACCTCTTTGAAGCACACTTCCATTTGCGGGAGTGTCCTGCCTAAAGCCTTTTCCATTCGAGAAGTCACATGGTCGTGTAGCTGCAGTGGTCCCCGAGTCATCAACGTCTTGGCATCGTCGTACTCGATCACCGGGACAAGTGGTTCGCCCTTGTCGCCTGGATGCATACTCCCCCTCTTGAATTGCGCTATAGCAGTGGTGGAGGTTGTCCGTCGGTCAGCGCCAATTGAGAAGTGAGTTCGAGCATAAGCTACAGTCGAATTTAGTCACTACTGATTATTGGACTCACTTGCATCGCAGACTGCGTCCATGATCACATTTGATTACGACTAGTAGCCGAATTCGTACTTTGTGTTGATGATGGGACGCACTTGAAATCGATCAGTCGAAGATTACAGCCCGAGATGGCCACCGTGACATTCATTCACGCCGTGAATCACGGTGGTGCCACACTACAGGGAATTCACTAATTCAACTGCAAGTGCCGATTGTCGAGATGCTATTGTCATAGGGACCAATTTCTCCTCGGTCATGTGATCGTTCATCAAGCGGTTCAGGTCACTGGGTATTAACATTTTTAGCGACTGACTTGCCGTTGTCCCTGGAAAAGACGCCAATGTATTGCGACATCGAGCACTATATCGAGCGTTCCTTGGCCGTCAGTGATGGCGAGAGGAAGACACTTCTCGAATTTTACTAATGAAAAAGTGCCCCAGTTCCAGCAATTAATTTTTGCGGTGGTAGACCTTGTGTTCACATTTCGAGTGAGTGCCTGTTGTCGCTGTTTATTGCTCAGCTACCTGCTGCATTTGCTGCGCCATCCACAGGATTTAGTCAGTAATAGACTAAAATGTAACCATTTCTTCTTCTCAACCTGTCGTAGTGAGATAATCAGCTGCTGTCGTTGTGCTAAGATCTTCCTCTTCTTGTTGAAAGCGCCATTTGATTTCTCCACCTCTTTTTGCCACTGCTCGTGGGTTCGTTGGCGTTCCTCCTCGTTCCGCATTTGTTCAAGCTCATCTTGTTCTGGTGTTCTTTGAGCCTCTTCCTACATGTTTCGAAATATACCGGTCAGTATCTACGCTGTTAGAGCGTTGCTGACGACACTAATCTCATGACTGTGCAGTGTGGTTGTAGCGATAGAGACACCAACTCACACTCGCCTGTATCTCGGCAGCGATGGCAGCAAATAGCCGTCGCTTGCGACGCTTCTGCAGGTTCTTGCGTTTGGTCCGTGCTGGTCCCATTTAGCGAAACCTGATGTTAGGAATATTCTATCTATAATAAGAAAATACTATGCTAAATCATAGGCTCGAGCCGTTGACAACTGCCAGTCCAAAGTTGAAGCGAACTGCATTCTCATTCCGCATTGGCCGCGCGGACGGCTGGAGAGCCTAAGGGCGTCGCTACACCCCTCTATTCTTCATCTCCATTCGTCTGTATAACCTCGTCGATATATACCGCACACTACAAGTTTACTCTCTCTCTCTCTCTCTTCTCCACTCCATTCTACCTGGAGCCGTGCTCTTGTCGCCGCTGGACGCCGCCTAAAACTGGAGTAACCGCTCAGCGAACACTGTATTGAGATCAGACTGGTAGAAGAGAGGCTACAAAATGTTTGAGAAGGTAGTGGAGTCGGTGCTGGAGGAGTATGTAAGCGAGTGGGTGGAAGGGCTCGATTCGGAGAAGATGAAGGTCGCGTTGTTCGCCGGGAAGGTCGAATTCCGAGACTTGAGGATGCGTGGCGCCGCGTTGGACAAGTTTCAGCTGCCCATGAAGATGAAATCGGGCAGCGTAGGTAAGTTGAGCATCAAGGTACCGTGGAAGAAGCTCACGTCACAGGCCGTGAAGATCAAGATCGAAGATGTGTTTCTAGTTGTGGAGCCCACGGATCAGGATGAAGCTGGTAAGAATGAAGAAGATGATGACTCGTACTTGCTTCGCACACGTTGGGCAAAGCAACAGGAGGTGCGAATGCTGGAGCTGCTGGAGAAGGTGAAGAATGATGGTAATTCTTCAAGTGCAAGTGAACATGAAGGAGACCCTGGAGCTGGAGATCCAGATCCGACAGCATCTTGGAGCTACCGCAAGAAGATATTGAACACGATCATGGACAACGTCTCGTTCGAATTCACAAACATCCATATCCGGTACGAGGATTCAAAGCACTTGGCGTCATCGATTCCTTTGGCGCTTGGACTTACGATTGACTCGATTATGATTTCGACAACGAATGCTAATGGGCAAGAAGAGTTCGTGGATCGAGCCCAGGCTCGCACTGCATTTGTGCACCGACGTTTGGAGATGGTGCAAGCTAGTGTGTATGGCGATCACATCGAATCATCTGGAGTGAAAGTCGGGATGGGTCCGATGACCTCGGGATCGAATATCATTCATCCTTTCAGTACTCGAATCAACCTGGCAAGAAACCACGACGAGCGGTCAGCAGCTACGATCCCTAAATTGCGATGCTCGGCGGAGATTAGCGCTATTAGAGCGTGTTTAACTCCAGAGCAAAGTACCTTTCTGATAGGTATTGCAGACTTCGTGTCTGCTCACGAAATGTACTTGAAGCGTCTGCATTTCCAGCGGAAGCGACCTACTGTTCCTGTTCGTTCGAACGCGAGACTTTGGTGGCAATACGCTTTGCGCGGTGTGATGGAACTGCATCCAAGCGCAGCTACTCTCAAGATCATAACGACAAGTAGAGGAAGCGGAAGTCCACCGCGTAAGGCAAGTATTGCTACTCGTCGATGTAATTGGAATCTTTTTGCGACACTGTGGTTTGCTCGGAAAGAGTATATTCATTTGCACAAGAACATGCTGCGTGCGGCAAAGAAGAAAAAGCTCGTTATTGAGAGTTTGATGGCAGATCGGAATCGACTTAACGAGCTGGAGGACAGTTTGGAAGTTCCGACGATTGTCTTCTTCCGGTTGTGTGCCGCGAAAGAGATTGAACTTGAAGGCCAAGGCAGCGATTCTCCACGAAAATTGTCACAGTGGAAATCGAAGTGGTCATCTGGACGAACATCAAGTGGTAGTTTGAATAGCGGTGCGTCAAGCGGGCGCGATAATTTTCTTGAGAAGATAGAGCTCTATCTAGCTGTGAATGACCGAATGCACGCAAATTCGGATGGTCGAACCTCTAGTTTTCACGAAGAACGGAATGTGGAGGCATTGCTCATGGCTTTGGATTTAGTCGTGATTAGTTTTGAGGTTGTTCTTGTGGAGGAGTATAAGGTCGGAGACAAGTCAGACACACGAGATTTTTTGAGGTTTGAACTCAACGAGTTTGTCGTGACTGTGCTGCAGAGAACTAGCTCTTGCACCGTAGCATTGCGGATCACGTCCGTCCAGATTCTTGATTTCCGTCAAACTTATGAGGTGGAACACCTAGAGAAGAAAGAACCGCAAGCGCTTCTCTCTATGATCGACACGATCGCTCCTAATGGCCAAGTTGCGACGCGCAAGAATCCCTTCGTAGAAATGAACATCGAGTCGTCCGAGAACAAGTTCCAGCTTGATTGCAAGTTTGAGAGGTTCCGCTACATCCACAACCTATACGCAACATCAAAGCTACGCGCATATTTTATTCCGAGAACGGAGGAGGTTGCGGCTCCAGCTTTTGTAAAGAAGGAAGCACCCTCTCCACCGAAGCTGACGCGGACACCAGCTGCGCTTCCTGCACAGTTGCTACGTAAGAAATCCCTCGAGAATGCGTTTGGAGCTCCTGAAAGCACAAAACAGCGTCGAAGTAGTAGCGTACGGGCTCGAGCCGTTCCAACAAGAGAAATCTTGTTTTCAATCAAATTACCGGAAATTGACGTTTTCGTTCATACAACGGATGCGTCTGCAGAAGTTGAAGCTAGACTGATCGGAACACATTTCCAAAATGGAGCAGCACACAACACGTTTGAACTATCGATTGAAGGGGCAGAAACCTACTTCCTAGAGCCACAAACGTCGGCGAGTTCAGATGACGAGCAAAAAGAAAGCGATAGTGACGCTGGGGATCGGAAGCGCTCTACTTTGATGCAAAGTACGAGCCTGGTATTTTACGGGCAAAAGATGGTGGAAGGATATCTGGTACCGAAGTGGCAGATGAAGTGTACGTCACCTCCTATCCAGTTTTCAATGTCTAGCGAACAATATCAACAACTTCTGCTGGCGTCGGCAGAATGGCAAGGTCCAAGTCAGCAAATAGAAACTACGAAAGCCGGCAAAGCTGCTCTGTTTGTGGCTGAAGACGAGCGTCTCAATGTTGGCATTTCTATTCCACAAATACTGATTGATTTCAATGGTGAAGGACCAATCCAGGAAGCGTTAAGCGCAGCATCAACCGAATCGGAGGATATCACGGGTTTTGAGCTGGATATACGAGACTTAAACGTTATGGCAAGGTTTTCATCGGTTGCCCAAGCCGCTGCTGTAGACATGAGTGCAGTGTCACTCGTGAAATGCGTAAAGCAGAAGCTACCGGACAATGAGGCCGGTGCTGCTAGCTTGGATGCAGCTGCAGAGGAGTCTGAAGTCGTAAATTCATCGATTCCCACACCACTGCCAACCGCTACAGACACAGTATCTTCAGCGTATGACCCGTGTACTGGAATTCGCATTTGCAAGCTGCTTGAGCTGCGTGGAAAAACTAGTTTCATGATATCTAGTTCCGAACCACTGATGGGCGAAGTCAACATTGAGCAAGCTGCGTTGTACTGGGATCACGAGCTGCTCGTTGCTCTCGTTCGTTATCACTCCAAGTCTCAGATCGGCAAACAGAATAAAGGTGTTCCCCTGAAATCAGCTGAAACTGCGCCGATACACGTGGCTCGCTTTGCTTGTCAAGTTCGAGTCCAGCGATGGTTCGCGTTTTGCATGCCGAAAGCTTGTAGGCTGGATCACATTTCGTTTGCACTTCGTGGAACTGATCTCCTCATGGATATTTCAACGCTTGAAACCGAGTACATACGTGTTAAGCTCGATAGTTCAGGCGAGATTCAACTGATATCATCTCGTCTGAAGAAAGTCAAGTCTGAAAACGATACCGAGGGTGAAGTAGTGCCAAATGATGTTTTTTCAGAGGAAACACACGTCCTTCTCCGAGCACAAGCTCCTGTTAGAGTTATACTCGAGTCTGCTGGTTTTAACTCATTGAAACACCGTGGCGGAGCTGCAGCCCACTACAGAATCGAAGGAGAAGAGGTGCAAGTGAATTATCTGCACTCATACTGGTCTCCGTTCCTGAATCACATAACGAAAGAAATCGCTGGCTTTTCACGGTGGACGGACTTGCTGAGGGTGCCAGCTGGAATGCAAACGCTTAACGAACGATTGAATCTCGAGTTAGAGATAGCTCATGTGAGCTTGTTACTACCAACGTGTGAGACCGAAGGCAAGCATAAAACACCCTCAGACCATATCGAACTCGACATTCGAGGTATTTCATCATCATCGCGAGCCTATCCAGAAAACACGGCATTGGAACAGCTCGGTGTTCAAATCAAGAATGTACAGATACTTGCGGTGATGACCGGACCTAAGAGACCGAATCAAACGAGCACCGATGAGGAAGCGAATAAGGACGAAGCTTCAGTGCGTCACTACCCTCTTGGGCAATTTAGTGATGTTTTTATCGAGCATGTGGCCGTTCCGTTTACATCACCCGGTAATGAAGAAACCAAAGACGGTGAAGCATGCGAGAACGAGTCTTCGGTGATCGACATCACGACCGTTTTGGAAGAAATGGAGAAAATGTGCAGTCACGTAATGGTTTATTTGTCGTCTCGAAGCAACTGGTTCAGCTCCACCCAAGAAGAAAACAGTGCTGCAACAAAGGCTAGATTGGCATTTAATCCTTACCAGTTCGAGCTCCTGACACGAATTCTCAACAATAATTTTGCGATTCTTCCACCCCCTGTAATTCGCAATTCTACCGACGCAGATGAAGTGAAAGTGACGGATATGACATTCGATCTTGGAGTTCTACAGCTAGATCTTCTTGATCCCCTTGACTCTACTATTGACAATACCGATTGCGACCAACCGTCAAGTGGCACGACAATTGCTCGAATTTGCCTTGAACGAGTCCAGATAGCGGTGGATGGCTTCGCATCTCTACGATCTCAAGTCCGTGCATCCTCATCTAAAGGTGCACTGTGGAAGGTTGACTATAGCGAAGATGAATCACCTGACGACGATGTAAAATCTGAAGTGCGCACACTATCTGGCAGTATATTTTCGTCGTCAGTCGACGATATTTCGAAGCAAGGTATCGACGTAGTCGTGGATCGACGTGCTCCTTCGTCAGATGTTGCTGTTCCTCCTAAAGATATTCGCATCCATTTGGATGTGTGCGAGCTATTACCCGAAATCGTCGAGTTTGGACAAAGACTCCGATACTTCGCCTCCATTGAATCCGAGCTATCGGAGAAAATCGAACGCGCTGATGCCTCTTTGGACGTTTCCATTACGACTGGGATTGTGTACTATTTGGCTGCGGAATGCGTTCCCAACCACATGGATGAGTATGGTATTGAAGACGAAATATCTCGTCGACTGTATCCCCATGAAGCAACATTGAAAATGATTGCGAGTGGATGTATCGTTGGACGGTATCACAGTGACGATCCTGAGAATTCTAAGACACAAGTTTACGGTCGTAATATGTCAGTGAAAGTGAGCTCTGAATGGCCACCAGATCCAGCAGCCTTGGTCACAGAAGCTCCAGCCAGTCCAACAGATTCGCCGACTAGAAATGACGCATCAGGTGGAGCTATGGAATCTCAGACTAAATATGAGCGCACTGTGTGTGATGACTTTACATTCGATGTCGAGTTGGTCACTGCAGAAGATGCTGAAGCAACGATGGCCATCAACTTGACTCATTTCCACGCCGTCATCTGTACTGTTGATCTATTTCTTTTTACTCAAGCCAAAAACGTGCTAGGAACGGATGACGACGTCAGTGAAGACAATACTAAAAGAGAAAAGACCGAAGAGGCTGGAAGCTCTGTAGAAGGAGAAGTAGAAGCTGAATCGGATCCTAAACATGTGGAATCCCAGTCAAGATCGCTGGCTCCACCAGAGATTGAATTTCGGGAAGACAGTATCAGTATGGTTCAGTTATTACTCGAAGATACAAGCATCACGCTTCTTAGACAAAGTGGACCGCATTTGTCTCCGATAGCGCGTCTTTATACCTTCCGCGCTATGTGCAAGGTGACCTACGAGGTAGGAGAACGAGTTGACGGAGTTGTCCCAACATTAACGGAGGTAGCAGTGGAATTCCCCGATGAAAGTTTGAACGAGCCAAATGCAGACGATGGAGTCAGTATTTGGGGATTTAACACAGCGCTAGGTTCGTGGGAACCGATCGTGGAGCCTTGGATGTTTGATCTTATGGGCTCTTTAACTCGCGATGAAACAGGAGAGGTGACTGCAAACCTGGATTTCACTGGGAAGGAAGGCCACCCGCTCAATGTCAACGTGTCCCCGGCGATGATTGACTCGCTGTGTCTGACGGCAAAAGCTTATGATGGAGCTTTACATAGCGCACATGCTCCTTATGTATCGCCATCGAACGTCATTTCATCCGACTGCTACTTGGTAAACGATACAGGAGCTCCAATTACCTACTGGGTTACGCACGACATCGGAAATGCATCGAGAGGGTTTACCTACGCGTCTAGACGAAAACCCAAGCGCGAATTGCTGTCGAACCGAGCGAAAATCGCTCTTGAGTTGTTGACATCCATTTCTCCGTCTTTGCGTGCTGAACAAACGGTTTCTTTCTGCTGGGACGACAACGAGTGGCATCCGTTAACTGACATTCCGATTCGCAATACTGGCAAGTACATTTACGGCGTTCGTCCTCGACGTATTGGTGGAGACAGCGAACAAGACAGCAATGCGCAGGAGAATTCGCACACTCCCGACGCTGTGACTTCACCAATCCCACGACCACAACTTCTACATATCCTTCTCGACGTCTCTGCAGCGTCTGGATGCCGAACATTCACGATATCGTCATTAGTTCGTCTATTCAACGAAACGAACATAGCAATCGATTGTGGTGTTCTTGAAGCCGATGGGAAAACCATTACGGAGATTGGTACAATTGAGCCTAAAGGCGCGTGCAGCGTTCCATTCCGCTTTGTTCAGCAGATTTGGTCTGTTCGAATGTTCATGAAGCCGCATCATTACCACTCGCCTGCCCAGTTAAGAAGTAATTCCAAACTCTCAGCTGAGCCTCCGTCGGCTGACCGAGTACATCGATGGAGCAACGAGTTATTTATTAGCGAGAAAGAAAGCAGCACACTACACACCGCGTCGTGCTCACTTGTTCTCGATGACTTCGCCTGCAAGTGCCAGAAGATGTTTGACGGATCGATGCCATTCCACCCGAGCCAAATCTGCAAGGCCAACGGAAGTTTCTTCCACGCACACAGTCGTGTCTTCACTTCTTCAAATGCGACCAGTCTACAGTATGCTCAATTGAAGCTGATGTCTCCGCTAACGCTGGTTAACAACTGCGGTGTACCGATTATTGCCGTGCTGTTCACACTTAAAAAGGTTCGACGTACGGCTGGGGCATGCGAAGAAGCTCATCTGGTATCGTCGCAGGTCATCCCTCCACGTGGTCGAGTAGATACACTGTCGTCTGCGCTCCAGGACGAGACCTATTGCTCGATATCAATGACAGGCTCCAGTTGGAGTCGTCTATTTCGTATTCCTAGCATCCTGGACTCGCCTGAAGAAACAGCAAAAACTGCAACACCCGCTGCTGCTTTGAAGGCGATTTCAGCGTTACCTTTGAAGCCTGGGAGTGACAACAAGAACGTGGTGTTGTCTCTGTTGGATTTCCAGTCACGGACAGCTACGTTGCATGTATCATTTGACAGCAAGGAGATCCATGAACGGAATGCTGGACACTTCATAATCGTGCAACCACGCTTCTTGCTTCGAAACGCAACATCGCTTCCTCTTATTTTCTCACCTCAAGTGAAGTTGATCGAGAAGATCCCTGGTACGAAGTCGATGATGGCGCGGTTTGCCAAGTCTCCATTCTCACCATCCAGAAAGAAGCAGACGGAGGAATGTTGCGGATCAGCTGAGATGGAAGCTATTCATGCGAAGCTCAATGCCCTTCAAGACCAAAAGGTATCAGAAGATGCCATAGATGAGGACGAGCTGCAAGCACACTATTATTCTGAGGTTAGCGCGATCATGGTACAGCTGGAAGGTAACACGTTGCAGTCGTCTAGTGCCCAGGATATCAGTCTGGAAGTTGGAGCCAACACTTCGCTCCGTGTCTACAACGAGGCCACCAAACGTTATCATGATCTTGTTGCTCTCTTTAAACAAGTGGGAGGATCAAGATCAATGGAGGTGACGTTTGTCGAGCGGTATCTAGTGCTCAACCAAACGGATCATGTGCTTTTAGCGTCTGCAGTATCCGACATCGCTACTAAGAAAGGAGCTGGTGACGACAAGAAAATCCTTGCTGCTCCACCGCGATCCACATCCGAGTTCAGTTGGTGGATGCATTCTTCCGTTCCGTCGGACACTTGCGTTCGATTGAAAGTACAAAGTTCCAGTAATGAAGACAAGCAAGGCGAAGACTATCAATGGAGTGGTAAGTTCTCGCTTCACGACGTCAGTGAGACAGCATTGAAGATCAGTACTCCTGATGCTTCTCGGATTTGCGTTTTACGTGTCCAAGTTCGCGTGGAGGCAGCCGTACAAGTTTGTGTAGTGGTGACTAGCGAAGACGTTGCCGAGTTTCCGCTGTATCGGATCATTAACTCGTGTGCACGAGAAACTATTTGGTTCAAACAGATTTTCGATGGCGTCAAGAAAGACGCGTCGGCTTTCCAACGTGGCGTGATGCAGAGCTTAGCACCAGGTGAAAGCGTGTGTTTCGGTTGGGATGAAGCTTTTTTCTTAGGTATCCCCAACCGTGAGATCAGCGTCTGGTATGCGCCAAAGGATGGTACAACATCTTCAGATTATCACAGTACAATTCTTCTCGATCAACCTGGAGAATCGCAACAAATCGAAATACCATCCAAAGCTGCGCTTCCGAAGGCACCAAGTCGGGTGTATGTGCGCTGGCATCTCCAAGGAGTTACCAAAACGATGGTAGCGCAAGATGTGCCGCTCAATCGGAAGGAACGAGCTGGTAAACAGACTCGAGAACTGATAGCAGCACACGGAGAAACGGAGAGATCCACTACACCAGGCTTCACCTCTGAGGTGGTCGCTCACTTCCGCTTGCCACATTTTGGCGTCTCATTGGTGACCAGTACACCGGATGAACTTCTCCTCTTCTCCGGTCAAGATGTGGATATTGCGTATGCCAACATCAACAATGATCATGATCAATGTGAAGTGAAAATCGGATGCTTCCAGCTCGACAATCAGTTAAGTGATGCAATTTATCCTGTAGTTATCGCACCGATCTTGAAGAAAGGTAGTGGATGTGCTGGGTTCCGAGACGAAGGCACATCATCATCGCCTGACAAGCAGAAAAGTACCGAAGTCCGATCCGCACATGGCACCGAGCCAACAAACGGAGACGATGACAATGGCGACAAACTCGATGCGAAATCTGGCTCACGAGCTCCTGTCATTCGGCCACATTTTTTCCACCTATCGATGCTCCGACTGAGCTATGACGACAACATGGACTACATCAAGTACTTTTCTGCTATGATGCAGCCCGCTAGGATCCAGGTCGACGAAGCTTTCTTACTTGCACTTGCATCGTTTGTCACGGATTGTTCAGCTACTTTGGAGAGGAATTATCCACCCGAGCGACGACGTCTTACCAGTGAAGCATCAAAAGTGCATTCCAAGTCCTCTGACAAAAGATTCAATGCTAACTCGGAGAGGAGAATTTACATTGAAACGCTGCAGCTTCATCCCGTTAAGATCCAGCTCAGTGTCACGATACTAAACCATTATGGAGAAACCGAGGAATCCGCAACAGGGCTGGCTTCACTGGTTAAACTCCCACTTGCAGTAACAAAAGCTCTGCTGAGCTCGACATTCTCCCAGATCGACAGTGCGACGCTGTATCTGAATGCGCTCCACCTCAACCACGCGTTCGCGTCTGGAGCATTCTTGATGTCGACGGTGCAGCAACACTACATGCTGCAAGGAATGCGTCAGATTTACTCTTTGATCGGCGCTGCAGACATCCTGGGTAACCCTGTGGGTCTAGTGACGAACCTTGGCGTAGGAGTGAAGGATTTCTTCTATGAACCCGCTGCAGGACTCGTCACCTCACCACAGGAGTTCGTATTGGGTTTATCTCGTGGCACAACCAGTCTGTTCACTCACTCGCTGTATGGAGCTTTCAACGCCGCTAGCAAAGTTACAGGCACTTTGTCGGAGGGTATCGCAACTTTGTCATTGGATCGTAAATATCTTGCCGAACGACGAGCTCAAGGACCACGAAAGCAAGTAGCCACGCACATTGGCACAGGACTTATTCACGGCACGAAGCAGCTTGGTAAGGGCATATTCGCCGGTGTCACGGGTGTCATTACTGCTCCAGCTCAAGGAGCAATACAAGGTGGTCTTCCAGGATTTATCGAGGGAGTTGGTAAGGGATTGATCGGTGTAGCAGTCAAACCTGCAGCCGGTGTACTCGACCTAGCAGCCACGACAGCAGCAGGTATCACTGCAACAACTTCAGCATTAGACCGTCGTACTGGATTGGGCAAAGAAGTTTATCGTCGACGTGAACCTCGACTCCTCCGTGTGACAAGCGATCAACGCGTTCGAGTGTATACTCCTGCAGACGCATTGGTATCTCGCTTACTGCTGACGTTGCCGATGAAATTCAAGCTGCAGCTTCCCAACGAGCTGTATGATACGCATATCTTCCTACCTGGTGCTCGTATTCTGGTGGCCACCTCGCTGCGTCTTCTTCTACTTGAATTCGCGTCCGAAGGAACTCTTGCAACGCTGACAACGGCAATCATGTCATCGACATCTATTCCACCGCCTTTGGTAGTCTGGAGTCACCCCTTGTCGAAGCTGGTAGGCGCTCAGCGTACACCAACAGGTATTGCCGTGCATATAGGCTCGAGTGCCTTTGATGCCGAGCTTATGGGCTCTAATGCTTCCGAAAAAGCGAAGGACGACGTTGCAACTTCGATGCTCTCGGATCTGGAGGAATTAGGAGCGTCAGGTATTGATCGAGTGCAAGAGTTCCTCACAGACTTGGTCGTGAGGCACCAGCGAGCTACTGCTACGAGCTATGGCACCGAGTAAACCAACTGGACTAGACAATATATGAGCTGTGAAAATCTTTCATATGACAATCTTCGAGTCACTGACGCATTTAGTGTGGTTATGGAGTTATAAACAATACATAGGAAAGAGAAGGAGCCACACGATGCACAACTCGTCGGTCGAAAAAGGAAATGCAGCCAAGTCCCTACTTTTGCGCTGGAGGAACGTAGCCATGCTTAGAAGCGTACGACTGAGCCATCTATTCGTTATAACAATATTAGTCGAACAGTACATCGGCTCAATATGATGTAGTTAAGGTCGTACCTTGGCCATGAATTCCGGGTGTTCCTCGGCCTCATGGAGTACGAATGCACCTGCCTTGGCCGCGATACCTTCATGTTGACGCAGAAGTGTCTCCGTCTCCTCGGCAGCAGGACGGTACGTAACGGTGGGGTCCATGTCCATATCGAGCGTTCCCTCACGGAACTGCGGGTGGAAGAGCATGATGAGCAGACTCAGGAAGGCGTTACCACACATGAGGAAGCCCACAAAGTAAGGCAGCGAGCCTTCCATGCCGAAATCCATGAAGCCCACGATAAAAATGAAGGCAGTTCGTCCACGGTATGTGAACAAGAAGCCGAATTGCTGGCGGATCCATGGCTCCATGTGCTTGAAGCGGCACTCGAATGCCAACAGCAAGAGAGCAAATATGCTAAATTAAAAATCATATCAAGGATTAGAAATCATAAGGATATGATGAATATGATTAACTCACATGGCGTATACAGAGATGAGGAAGCACGTGATGTCCAGCACTACGAGGTTGAAGAGCCCCATAAAGCCCGCGAGGGCCTGCAGCACCGCCAGCACCACGTTGGCATAACGCAGGTAGCGCATGAGCGTGGCAGCCTCCATCATCTTCATCCTTTAGAAACGCCATATCACTATCAGCTAATGTTTTGATTATCCAATCTCATTTCTAAATGATACCCACTTTTGCCAGTATGTAGCAGGCGCCGACAAGTTCGAGAGCGACGTGAAGCCGCTGACGGTGCCGATCTCCTGCTGGCGGATGCTGCCAGGGTTACCGGCGTTACCCGTCGCGGCCTGCTGCGGGTTCAGCGGAGCGCGCAGAAGTCGCTCTTGCGCGTCGTTCTCGCTCGAGCCGAACATGGGGAAGGTGCTGGATTGTGGGTCGACTTTTGCTATAGTGAAGCCATCGGGGAAAACCGGGCCATGTGTAATTTCGGAAACCTTCAACCTTCGAAAGCTAAAATGTGGCAAAACGGCAATGCAAAAAGTGGGAAGTTTTTGCCAATCACACATGAAACAAAAGACCAAAGCTTCACAACCGACACTACTTTTGAGTGTTCAATTCAAAAGGATATACGCACACTTGACCTAAGTTCCGCTGTTCTCTTTGCTCTACATGCAGTTCCCGATGGCCCTGCTTAATGAACGACGTCAAAAACCGCCCACCTCATTTACTTACTTTTCCACCGTGATAGCTTTTCAATCCTGCCCACCGATTTTACTTCTGAATAACCCGTGTTGCGCGATACGTAAAGTCCTCAAAGTACTCTCGTTCGCGATCCACCGAGTCGAGCATGCGCCACTCGGGTGTGTCCACCGGCACTTGATTGATAAAGTCGTCGTCCAGGTATTTGGCATCGGCGTCGTCGATCACATCAGGCACCCACTCCGGTTCAACCTTCTTCTGTTGCAGAGCTTCCCAGTCGATTCCCTCAAAGAACGGATGTTTCATAATAGAGAACGGCACCGCCTCATTGGCTCCCAGTCGCTTGGATGGATCGCGCTCAATCAACCCGGCAAGCAGCGACTGAACATCCTCCGGCAACTCTGGCGGGATGTACAGGAATCCCTCGGCGATATTGCGGTACATAATGGCCTTGTTATCATCCTTGAACGGCGTGCGTCCCACGTACATCTCAAAGATGAGGATACCCAGACTCCACCAGTCACAAGTGTTGTCATACGTAGCAGGGGGTTCCCCTTTCTTCGGGTTGGCAGCAGCGAGCACCTCAGGCGAGATATATTCCGGTGAACCGGCCAGAGAGTGTGCCTTTTTGTCGTTCTCATCGCGCGCGTAGGTTGATAAACCAAAGTCCACCAGGACGATGTGGCCATCCTTCTGAATGAGAATATTCTCGGGCTTGAGGTCGCGGTAGATAATATCTAGACTGTGCAAATGTGCCAGACCCGCCACCAATTCAGCTGCATACAACTTGATGCGTCCAGGTGTGAGTTTCAGCTCGTCGTTCTGGTTCAACATGAAGTGATGACGCAAATCGCCGCCATTATAAAACTCCATACCCATGTACACCTTATCTTCATTCTGGAACGCAAACAGCAGCGACGCCACGAACGGATGACGCACTTCACGCAACATATCGCGCTCGATCTTGGCATTGCGACGCATGTTCTCGTCCATGCCAATCTTCGTGATGATCTTAATGGCGTACACATTTCCATCCGGCCCACGTGCAGACAACACACGGCCGTACGTTCCAGTGCCCAACACCTTGAGTAGCTCAAAGTCGTCAATCTTTAGCGTCGACTTGGATTTGCCTCTATTCGAGTCACCGGCGGGTGGCGGGGCGGTGGCTCCAGACCCTCCGGCAACACGTGACGCGCCCAGTCCGTTCTCCTCTTCATTGCTCACCGATGTAGCCATCATGGAGCGAGTCAGCACTTCTTCTTCCGTGTCTTCCACCTCTTCTGCTTCACCCGAAAGAATCATATCACGCTGTCGAATTGCCTCCTTTTGCACAGCTGCGTCCAAGTGGTTAACCATAAACCGGTAATATTTCCACGTGCTGTTGGTAAATCTCCGATCTCCGGACACGTGCATCATCACCCCATTACGGATAAGTGCCGTGCCCAGTAACAAGGCCTCTTCGGCCGTGGAACACGTGATGCCGCCCTGCATCGGGCGGTTCAATCCGTGACACAACATCCACTCGACCGCCTCTTTGCCGGTAATGACATTCGGGTGGGGTTTTAGATACAAACTGCGGTCTTTGCCAGGCAATTCCTGTCTCATTTGCTCCGCGGCCGTCCACAGTTGCCACAAACTGGGCTCGCGCACAATGCGACTGGAAATTCGCACTTTGCCTTGCACCCGCTTCATTTTGCTACTAGGACGAAGCTGCAGGTCGTACCACGCCACCCGCTCTTCACCGCTCGTGTTCATGTCTTCGAGACTGAGCAACAGTCGCCCCAGATCCTCATTCTCAACGCGCCCTTTATCTTTGCACTTGACAAGCACGTACTTGGCGTTCATCAGGTTCGTTTGGATGCCAAATGTGTACTCCTCCGAGGCAGCGGCGGCGCCAATACCCAATGGCTGGTGCGACTCGACGCTGCTTTCGAGCGAGCGCAGTACCGCGGCCTTGAGTGGACTCCAGACCGGATTTGCATTACGCATGGGCGGTGTGCGCTGCTTTTCGCCCTTGATTTCGCGCTTATTCTCGTCTAGCAACACCAACGTGCAGTAGGAATTGCGGGCACGGCCGGATTCAGCGGGGAGCAGATCCCACGCCTCGATGGGCGTCACCTTGAGCAAGAATCGTCGCTTGGCTTTGATACGCATTTTGCCATTCGAGTGCTGACTCTGACTCGTGGTGCCTGAAGTGGCAAAGAGGTTAGGACACGTTTTCACTTAAAGTGACAGAGGAGAGCGCGGGTGATGACGTACGCGAAGACGGTCTCCGACTGGACATGGCGAGGAGAGTCTTCTTGGTCGCGAGGAGAGGAAAGAGGCTGTGGCGACAGGAGCTGCAAGCCTTGCGAGCGGGTCGTGCGGTTGTGGGGGTCGGCGCTGTTCCTCCCCGCTTTACAAAGTCTGGTTTTGGGCTCGGAAAAAAGTGCGGGAGGGGAGTTGCAGACGGGTAAACCTGTCATATCTGAATTTAACGGTTAGTGTACACCACATCATAGATACGTTTGCTGGTTTTGATAAGTCAGTCGTAATAGAAACCCAATACCCCGCTATTTTCGTCATGGCTACTAAAACCTGGTTTCGTTGCAGCCCCTTGATTGACGCCGTGATGGGGTCACATACAGAATCAGCACCGCCGGCACTCAAACGGTTGAGCTCTGGTGCAGCAAGCGTATAGATGAAGAAGGCAAGGATATCCAATACTAGTACTATTTTATCTGCTTTGAGCACTTGCTTCTGCGTGTGAATGAACCTCCGCGAAAGAGTCAGGTAATGGGGTAGGGCAAATAATAAGGATTCCCGACACGAAACACCGAAAAATACCACTTATTAATACAGCGGAGAACACTATACCATTGTCCATGACAGTATTCTCTCTGCATCAACCATCCCTGTTACACGCAGCTCCAAGCATTGTACTGCAGTCCCCATTCACAGTTCTGCAGCCAAAAGGTGCAATTTCCAAACACAGAAAGTGATGTCACTAAAACGGGGTTCTTAATTTGCCCACTCCGATGACGTACCTCATCCGTCAGTCCGATAACCGCCCGCCACCAGCACCCCCTTGGCTATCATGACGTCGGTCGTGACCCTCAACGGCATCGATGTGTCCGCGCTGGACGAGCGCGAGTACGAGACCTTCACTCTTTGCAACTCTCTGCAAGTTCTGGTCATCTCAGACCCCAAGACGGAGAAATCCGCTGCCGCAATGGACGTGCACGTGGGCCATCAGAGCGATCCGGAGGAGCTCCCGGGGCTTGCACACTTCCTGGAGCACATGCTGTTCCTCGGCACAGCCAAATATCCGGATGAGAACAGCTATAAGAAGTTCCTGAGCTCTCACAGTGGCCGTAGCAACGCATCGACGTCTCAAATGCACACCAATTTCTACTTCGACGTGCTAAGTGACCACTTGCACGAAGCTCTGGACCGTTTCTCGCAGTTCTTCATCGCCCCGCTATTCACTCCTGGAGCCACACAACGAGAAATGAACGCCGTCAACTCGGAGAACGCCAAGAACCTGCAAAACGACCACCGACGACTGTATCAACTGCAGAAATCTCTGTCAAATCCCGATCACCCGTTCCACAAGTTCGGCACAGGCAATCTAAAGACTCTGGGAACTATTCCAAGCGAAAAAGGGATCGACGTACGAGCAGCATTGCTGGATTTCCATGCCACATACTACTCAGCCAGTATCATGAAGCTCGTGATCTGTGGCAAGGAGAGTTTATCAACTTTGAAAGGCTGGGCAGAGGAGTTATTCTCCGAGATTAAGAACACAGGCCGGAGCTTCCCAACGTTCGGAGATGCAGTGCCATTTGACGAGTCGAGGCTCGCTCGTGTGGTGCACGTAGCTCCAGTCAAAGACCTTCGCGTCATAGACGTATCATGGCCACTACCGTCGCTGCATTGGGACTTTTTAACGAAACCCACGAAGATCTTGTCCCATTTAATGGGTCACGAAGGTCCTGGCTCGATTTTAAGCTACTTGAAGGCTCAGAAATGGGCGAACGGACTCTCTGCTGGCCTGTTCCGTGACAACGAGGACTGGGGGTTATTCTGCGTCAAAGTCGACGTGACGGATACCGGTATTGAGCATGTAAATGACGTCGTGGAAGCCGTGTATCAATACATCCAGACTTTGCAACGTGAGGCTCCGTTTGAGCCCTGGATCTTCCACGAGACACAAGACTTGGCGCTGCAAAACTTCCGCTTCAAGAGCAAGGAGAGTCCCATCAACTACGCAAGCCACTTGGCGAACGTCATGCATCGCTATCCGCCCAAGTACATTTTGTCCGGTGGCTACATCCTGTACGAATACGACGGCGATAAAGTCCAAAAGATTCTGGACTTACTCACCCCTCAACGAATGCGTCTCACAGTGGTAAGTAAGACGTTTGAAGGCAAGACACAGAATGTGGAGAAGTGGTACCAGACTCCGTACTCGGAAGGCTCTATTGACCCTGAATTACTGCAGCGCTGGACGTCACCGCAGCCCAACCCGGCACTGAAGCTCCCTCATCGCAACGAGTTCATCTGCAGTGACTTCCGTATCGTGACACCCTCTCGCTCAGCTGAAGACGCGGCTGTATCTCCTCCGATACTGCTGCAACATGACGAGCAATGTCGTCTCTGGTACAAGCCGGACACTCAGTTCCGCAAACCCAAGATGCTGATGCACTTCCTGTTCTACTCGCCGTCGCTGTCTTCCACTCCGTACCACGCAGTCCTCACGAGTTTATTCGTACGCTATCTCAAAGACAAGCTCACTGAGGTATCTTACGATGCAGAACTCGCTGGAATGGAATACGAGATCGGCTTCAATTCCCGCGCGTTGGAGCTGCATGTTGGCGGATATTCCCACAAACTGCCCACGTTATTATGTAAGGTCCTCCAACAAATGTTAGAGATGACAAAAACCGAGTACAAGTACGAAGACGCTGTCTTTGAGCGCGTCAAGGACCGTACTAAACGCATGTACGAGAACTTCTTTCTAGAAGAGCCTTACCAGCACGCTGTTCACGTCTGTAGCCAGCTGTTGGAGGTCTCGAAATGGAGCGTGGACGACAAGATCCGTGCCATCGAGCACCTCAGTTTATCCGACCTAGCGTCTCACAGTCAGTTCATCTTCCAGCAGGTGTTCGTAGAGGGATTCTTGTATGGAAATCTACAGCAAAACGCAGCTCCACCTTTGATGCAACAAGTGCTGAACTACTTTAACTTCGGGAAAAGTGGAGGCACTTTCCCACTATTTGCCAGTCAAGTGACCAAGCCGCGTGTTGTCCAACTCGCCGACTCCAGCGAGTATCGTTTCCAACGTCGTGAATGGAACGAAGCCAACCTCAACTCGGCCATCTGCACTCTGTACCAGTTAGACTGCGAGACTGAAGGTACTACGATGGCTCTGCGTGCTCGTCTCGAGCTGTTTGCGCACATTTTCAAGGAACCGTGTTTTAATCAGCTTCGTACTCAAGAACAGCTCGGTTACCTCGTGTTCTCCGGTATTTTACGCACTGAGGGCGTCGATTACTTCCGTATCCTGATTCAATCCGACGTGGCATCTCCACAACTGCTGGACCAGCGTATCGAGTTGTTTGTGGCTCGATTCCGATCGATTATTGCGGAAATGCCGTTAGAAACGTGGCAGAAGCAGGTGAATGCAGTGGTCAAGGCCTTACTGGAGAAGCCCAAGCACGAGCTGGAGGAATCCATGCGTGCGTGGCGGGAGATTGCCAACGAGACGTTCGTGTTCGACCGTAGACAGCTCGTGGCCGCTGTAGTGTCGACTCTACAGCCTCGTGACCTCGTGGCGTTCTTCGACTCGTTCATCGCTGTCAATGGCGAGCGGAGGAGTAAACTCAGTATCTGTCTGTATGGAGCAAAGCACCCGTTCCCCGAGCTTGTAGCGGACGAGAGCTCGAGTTCTACTGTCAGGTCCACGGGTCTGACTGCAGCGATGCTCCTGCAGCAACAAGTGGAGAACGAGAGGGTGAATGTGGTCAAGGTGATCGACGATGTTGCTGCGTTTAAGCAGCAGATGCCGCTGTTCCCGGAGCGAGCCACCAGCAAACCCACTACCGCTAGACTTTAGACTCTACATGTAGACTTGACGCTAGCTGCGTAAATATACGCGCTCATAATGAAGAAGAGAAGACAAATGCAAGTTGAAGAGCTCTTTAGCGTTTTGATGATGTCATGGACTACCATCTGGTGCGATGTCTCACAAGCGCTGTATCCACAGTAGCACCTTTTCTATTACGATACTTCAGCTCAAAACCACCATACGTTACCAAAGGTTATTTCAAAATACTTGTCAGTTTTAAGTGTAACGGTTCTTTTTGAAATCCGATCCAACAGGGTATGCAATATCCGGTTCTTGCTTCGTCGCCTCTTCAGTTGCCCCAACCGACATCATACTTTGTGATGATGGAATCCCGCGAGGACTCGGTCACAAGTCGCCGCGCCGACAAGTCCATGACTAGCGTCAGCCCCCCAGTCTCTCCTCGCCCCACCGCTCCCGGCTCCCCCTCTATGCTGACAGCTACCCAGACGACGCTGCTGCCACCCAAACCTGCGCTTCGTCCTCACGCGCGGGCGTCCGTTCCAAACGTCCACACCAATTATGCGGCGTCCTCTGATGTCCCTAGTACCGTGAAGCTTCTGAGCGAACTAGAACGGTCCTGGGCCATGTTTGCTGCCTCCTGGAGGGTGGTGGACCTGTTCGCAGGTCTCCAGATCTGGCAGGAGCAGCCCAAGGACTCTGAGAACGGTCCTGAGCCACTTAATAACGTGCTGCTATCCACTGCGTCCGCTGGTTTGGTGACATTTCTAGCCGGACACATCGGCGGCGGCGGGTTCGTTGTGTCACTACTGCTCACGGTACTGGTAGTGACTGCAGCGCTGTGGACGCTGTCCAATGCTCGAGCCAAGACTGCAGTACCGTGCTTCAAGACGCTGCAGGTGGTGGACGGGTCGCCGTCCGAGATCTTTATGTACCTGATGGGCATCAAGAATTATCCGGTCTGGGACGCATCAGTGGAGACAGCGGAGGTGGTGCACACTATTGACGATCACTCGGATATTATCCACATCGTCTACAGACCCGTGTGGATGTGGCCGTTGTAAGTACAGTGATGAGTGTTTCAAATGTGTTTTATTCAGTACTAATGGGTTGTTATATAACTAGATGGCTGGCACCGAGGGATTTATGCTTGTTGAGGTATTGGCGTCGCGCGGAAGACGGATCTTATGTCATTTGTATGCAGAGTGCACTACATCCCGAGTGTCCACCAATGCATGGACTAGTGCGTGCAACATGCAAGGGTGGAGGTTTTATCATTTCACCCAGTGTCACTCAAGGAGATGAATTAACCTCCATGGTCACCAATGTGGTGCATCTGGACCCTCAAGGATGGGAAGGCCAATTGCTACAACGTTTAAACATCATGCACTTGTACGTGCGACCTCAAGTACTAGCGTTAACAGGACTTCGGGACGTGATGGAAGCACGTAAATACGTCTGTCCGAATGTCCCGGAAGAATTCTCAGCGGCACTAGCAGCATCAACGGAAGAGCAGGCGAATACTGCAGTACAGGAAGAAACTGCTGCTACGGATACCGAAGCTCCGGTTTCTCAACTGGAGGAGTTCCCGAGTAATGTACCGCGTTCTATGTGGGCAGAACCGGACGGCGCTGCGATGATGGTACGCGGTCCTGACTACTTAACCGACCGACGGAAGATCCCGTCGCAGTCTCCGTTCTTCCGTCTGGTTGGAATGGACCTGTTCGAGTCATCGGAGGCCGTGGAACACATCGCCTCGCGTCCAGATAACTCGGTTCAACGCGAGTTGAGACGCCATGAAGAGCAAGGGACGGAGATGCCATTTACCTTCGTCATTAACTTTGTGGTGCCGGGTAATCCTCGCATTAACCTCGTGCTGTACTACCAAGTTCCTCACCCTTCGGTATTAACCGATGGCTCGCCGTCTTCTGAGCTCATGGCCGACTTCTTGGAAGGCTCCGATGAGTTCCGTAACGAGCGCTTCAAGCTTATTCCCTGCATTGTAGAGGGAAGCTTCATCGTGCGTCAAGCTGTGGGTTCTACCCCCGCTCTGATCGGCAAGAAACTACGTCAACCATACTTTAAAGGGAAGCAATACTTCGAGCTGGACGTCGACATTGGCTCTTCAGCAGTAGCCAACCGTGTGGTCGGTCTCGTATCAGGTTACACCAAGAAGCTGGTGATCGACATGGGCTTCGTACTGGAAGGCCAGAACTCGGAGGAGCTCCCTGAAAGACTCTTCGGTACTTGTCGTCTGGTTCATATCGACCTGGGTGTCGCCAAGAAGCTCACATGAAGAACTTATACATGTTGAAGCAGTTATAGAAACAGAAGGAGGGTTAACCCTCTTTGCCCCGTTAGAAACGGTATCGTAATGCATGTTGAACCCATTTAGAAAAAAAAGTTCTGTCTTGCCTTGACTGCTCATAGCTTATGGCCCACCATAATAAAAAAAAAGATCAAAAGTGGTCCGAAACCAATGCGCACTTTTTCTATACTAAGTACTTTTTATTATTGTTTTTGGCAATATGCTGTTTTAGATTTGAAGCGGCTATTTATGCAGTATTTGTAAAATTACGTTCACCATTAAAGGTGACCGTAATTTTAAAGACAGCTGTCCAAGATCGTGGCTGCAGGAAGCTTTCGATTTCTGGATGCTCATCATTTGTGGCATTTCTAAATTCTCTCGGGAGAGACTCAACCATGCCAACTCGGTACATTTACGCCGACCTGGATGCTTTGAACCAGGACGTGTGCAAGTATATGCGAGCCCATGCGAAAGACTTCTCCGACGCAGAATTGACCAAGCATTTCCCTATTAGTGCATACAAGTTGACAAAGTGTTTATCATCTGATGAATCGACATATTTTAACGGTAGTTATTACTATCTGAAACTCAAAGACGTGGAGGCATTTCGAGCTGTGGGATGGACAATGAGACCCAAGAGTGCGTCCAAGTATCGTACGCTCGGCCATTTACCAAAGCCCAAACGGAATCCCGACAATACCGAGACGTTGGTGCTAGTTGCGGGAAAATTGGCCGGCTCAATTCTCCTCGGAGTGGACAAATACTTCGAAGCTGGATGGAGTGTGCACTGCTATTGCTTTAGAGATCGAGACTCCAAAGTATTCGATCGACTGGTGTTGGAGCATCCAACACAATTCAAGTGTATCTATTTGAACAACTCGGTTAGAAACCTGATAAAAGACATTTCGGGCGACTACGAGATGATGTTCACGGCTAGAGATACGCCTCGCGACGAAGTAGTAAAGAGTATACCGGCGAACTACAAGATATCCGATTTGTACGAGTATATTCATGAGCTGCAGGTGAAGATTCTAGCAATGGAAGCGGATTCCGAAGCGCAGCGTACGAAGCAGCATGATGATCTGCACTACAAGCTTCAGCAACAACAGGAAGCTTTTGCCTATCAACTCAGCAAACACGATGAGGATTTTCAAGAGCGTTTAAGAGAACATCACAAGGCTGCAACATTTCATCGTAAACAACATGAAAAAGTTATCGAAGAACGAGTGGAGATTTGTACGAATGAAGTTGCGACGGCGTTGTCAAACCTTGGAGAACTATCGGAGCGGGTGAAGCACGATGTTGAAGAGTACCAGAGAGCTCGACTTGATGAGGAACTTGCACACTGGCGGCGAGACAATCTTGTGAGCAATACCAACGTCGATGATCAAGACAAAGCAGATCATTCGTCACTGCTAGATGCAGTCGATTTTGTACTCAAACAGAACGGAGTTCATACTGGACTCAAGAATTGGAAAGCTGCTCTGGTAGTGCTGGTGATCCACAAGATAACGGCATGGCTCTCCTCTGCCAGCTTAGGGACGGACTTGGTCGGTATACTCACGACTTCTTTTGCCGTCGTTATGATAACATTATGCGTGGTCGATACTCTTTAACACACTACATATGATACAAAAAGTCTGAAGTAGTACACCATCGATTGATGTCTTTCGATCCAGTATTTCGGACGTGTACCAGTTTGTTAGAGAGCTAACATGCTATCGCGAGGAACGTACCACCCATTACGGCGTGGATCCATTCCGCGAAGCTGGTTGGGATCTAAAAACAAAGAATAACCCCGAACACCAAAATCTACTCAAGCGCAACATCGCAGAAAAGCGTATTGGGATGTTGATGGCCGAAAAGAAACTCTGGTGCTTGTGGGGGGAGAGTTGACTAGATCAATATTGGATCGGATGTATTGTTGGCTGGAGCTTTCAGTTCTACTGCTTTCGTGAAAGCAGCTCAGGCGTATGCGGCCACCTTCGTGCAGAATATCCAAGACATTTTCAGATCTCTTACCTGGGGAGAACGGGCACAAAATTACTGAAATTGATTTCACCGCCAGTAAGCTCAGTGGATTACTTGGAGCTGCCTTAGGCACGGAAAGGACGGGCGGCCATCGCTTTGTGGTGTTAGACATGGTAGAGCTTTTTGCTAGCGGTAAACTGTGCACGAAAGCTGAAGACGTGATTGATTTGCCAGCGCTAACAGGGCCGGTTTGTAACAAACGTGAAGCATCAAATAAAGTATATACGAGCAAGCTCTTGCGAGGGTTTACTTGTCAATGGATGGGGACTGATCAAGCAGCCAACAGCAAGCGCACTACAAGATCAAAGCTACCCGACCACGACACCTCAGAATGACATTAAGTCAAGAATTCTATGTATCAGGCTTCTATAACAAAAACACATAATAATCAAATAGAAGGCCATTTATCATGAATACACTATCATTTTTTAAATACTAAGTGGTGATATTGTTGTTGGTCAGTAACATTTGAATTGAAGTTACGTTGCTACTGAAGTACCAATGTTCTCTTGCTATTTCGCAAGTTCATTGGTTTTTACACACTCCAGTCGTTTTGTTTGATAAGTTACAGCCCGGTGTTGATGTTGATGTTGATATTCTCTTTGAAATTTAAGCTAGTTGATATGCAAACAGAATTGTATCTTCTATCCGTGGATGAACCTAAGAACTGGAAAATGCTAAGCAGCCTTAGATGGTCAAACGGTTACTGCCCCTTGATGGTTTTCGATCCAGTCAGTGTTGTTTGGAGTAGTTGAGGAGTATTGCCGCTGAGCCGCTACGTTTTTGCGGATCTTAACGCGCTTAATGGCGTATGTGAAAGCTCACAACAGGCAATATTCACAAGAAGAGCTGTCGCTACCATTCCCTCTGGATCCGTACAAGTTGACCAAGTTCCTTTCAGGTCCAGGAGGAGATTTGATGGTGTTTCGAGGGACCTGCTACGCATTAAATATGAAGGACGTGAAGGATTTTAGAAACGCTGGCTGAGATCTACGACCAAAGAGTAAACCTGAACATCGTACACTGGAAAATCTACTGAAGCGTAACCTCGCAGATGATGAGAACGGAGTGTTGGGGACAGGAAAAAAAACGCTCGTTCTTGTGGGAGGAGAGCTCTTGAACTCGATACTGGATCGTGTAAAACTGTACTTCAGTGCTGGCTGGAGTGTCCAATTAAAATGCTTTCGCGAGAAAGGCTCTGAAGTAGGCGACCGTCTTCGTGCAAAACATCCAAGTCATTTTCAAAGCGTTTATCTGGGTGGACGTATCAAAATATTACTGAAAGGGGCATCATCTCCTGCAAGTTCTGTGTATCGGATACTAGGAGTATCCCTAGAAACGGAAAAGCTTGTTTGGGTGGTTGGTGGCCAGCGCTTGGTCTTGTTAAACGTCGATGAGCTGTTTGCGCGCAGTAAATTGTACCAAGACGGGGTCAATTTGCCAGCTTTAACGAAGCTGGTGTGTGGTGATGATCCAGCAACAGTGAAGCATCAAGTGGCCATTTATGGTCAATCGAACCAGTTTCCTGCGAACACTCTACTGGATAATGGATGGGTGCCGAGTAAGCAAACAGCAGCAACTGAAATTGCAGCAGTACAAGTTGAGCTGGTCAAGTAGCTGCGGAGAAAGCACTAACATTCGTCGGCAAGGACATGATCGACCAGCTCTTTCCTGACCTTCTCTCGAAAATGTGGCACATTGAAATATATTTGTGGAAGGAATCGTTGACCAGCGAGCTATTGAACATTCTTCACACTTGTTGGGATCAAGTGTTGTTGAAGCCTCTGGATGAAAAGATGAGCATATTATCAAGTTCAAAACAGAAAGAACATACACACAACAAAGGCGCCTTTCGTTATAATGATACTTCTGCCAATAACTTTTCATTGGTTCAAGAGCCTAAGCGAGCAGATTTAGACGGTCATCATCAGCAAATATGCATCGTGGATCAACTCCAACAGCTCAGGGTAGAGTTTGAAGGTCAACTTTGTGAGGCAAGCGATGTAGGAGCCTTCCAAGATGCAGGTTGGGACGTGCGGCATAAGGGCGCACCCGAACACCGCACGCTGGAGAATTTGCTCAAGCGTAACCTGTCAGATGACGGAAACGGCGTCCTTGGCGACGGCAAGAAAACATTGCTATTGGTAGTAGGAGAGCTGACTCCTTCATTACTGGACCGTGTTGAAATGTACTTCAAGACCGACAATTGGAATGTGGAGTTCTACGGTTTTCGCTCAGTTAGCGAGGTGTCCGACCGCTTACGCGCAGAATATCCTTCACGCTTTCGCAGTGCCTACTTAAGTCGTACCATCAAGAATTTACTGAAGGGGAGACCTGATTCAAGTGGTAACGAGCGCTTCGTGTTCATGAACCTCGACAGCATCATGGAGACGCTGTTCCGTAGTAACACGCTTTACAAGATGATCCCCGGTGCAGCCTCGGCACGAGATATTCGAGTCAACTTCAGTGCTGTAACCAAGATTGTATGTGGTGAGGATCAAGCAAAAGTCAAGCGTCAAGTTGCAACGTACGCAACGACAAATCCATTGCTAGCTCAAAAGCTTGTTGATCTTAAGTGGGAGGTAGACAAGCAAGCTCCGACAGCTTCGATGTCAGCGCTTGTAGAAATACTGGAGCAATTGGCTTCGTCGACAGTTCCGACACCACAAGAACCGAAGACTTTGGTCCTCGTGATGGGAGATAGAGGATTGACTGTCTCCGACAGAATGGTCTGGAGTCGTCTACTTGCTGAATTCGTTGCGAAGCAGTGGCATATTGAAATATTCTCCTGGGTGAGGACGTTGAGCGATGAGTTCCTTGGTGCCTTTCTTAACCATCGCGATCAAGTTCTTGTGTACGCGCTGGACAACACGCTGCACGTTTTCACGTATCTGAAGCCTGGAAGCTTAACTAACACCACTGCTGGCCCCACGTTTAAACTCGCTGCCGATGGAACTGAGACTATCGATCTGCCACCGTTGCAACAGCAAATGCATCCAGTGCAAGTGGCATTCGTTGCAATGCAAGCTGATGCAGCCACTGTTCGAACGAAGTATCAAAAGGATATCAACACACAACTTCAGCAGCTGAAATCGGCGTTTGAACTTCAGCTGCGTGAGCAACGCAACGGGTTTGATGCTGAGTACAGACGGCTACAAGATGATTTCGAGACTCGGCTGCGCAAACAGGAGGACGCTTTCACAGCATCCAGACAACGATATGAGAAGGATACTGAACGACGTTTCTGCACAATGGAAAACACCATTGCAAGGCTACGATTGGAACTGAAAAATGAAACTGAACATCAATATGACCAGTGTCAGAGTGACATTGCAGCGGTGAACAGTAGTATGGAGGAAATGTCAAGGCGACTCGCACGGAATATGGCCATTCACGAGCGCAAGAACGATCACATTTGGGATCGTGTTCAAGACAGTCTTCGGATAAGACGAGAAAAATGTGCCGAACAGCACAACAATCTGGAATTTCGAGTGGAGCAGCAAGATCGGAAGCAGCAGATTGCAGCCGAGGAAGCTGGCATCAGGCACGCGCAAGATCATCAAGAGCTGAAAAGTGACATCATTAGCACGGTCTTTTGGCGAATATTTGCTGCGATCATTGTTTTCTTCCTGTTCGCAAGCATAGTAGCATCACCTCACCAAAGGCAGAATTAGAAGAAGAACCCAAAATATAGACCCTAGCAATGCAAAATGTTGGATCGATTGGTAGGTAAACTACAGATAGAGCGACGCAGCGAACACGATATCGCGCTTGAGTTTCTTGCCTCCTTCGTCAAACTTCTTCTCCAGCTCAACGTCACCAATAGAGTGCGCAGCTAGCGTCAACTGACGCAGCAACTCCTCCAGACGACGTAGACAACGGATGATGGTGCCTTCAAACGCATCCGACATCTTGCAGATCTGGGAGAACTTGGCTCCTTGGCACCAGGCAATGACCACATCCACCAGACTCGTGTTGAACGCACCGGCGTATTCATCCACGTCGATCGTGATCTTGGCATCTTGCATCACCTTGGCGATACGCTGGGCCGTCTCACGCAGCTGTCGAACGGGGATCTCCAAACTATCAGCTTGAGGCGGTTTGTCGGTCTCTTTCTTCTTCTCAGTGTTGATCAAACAGCTCAGCAGCGCCACCGTATCGTTCACAGATAGGTCGTTAAACTGGCCATTAAAGATCATCTCCGTCACCAGCAGCTCGTCCGTCGTCGAGACTTCACACGCCGTGCGGCCCTTGCGTTGGATGACTCCTTCTTTATCCACGAACTCCAGCCTCCTCAACACTCTTCTACGTCGACGTAGGTCATCACGCAGTACGAGAGACTTGGATTCCTTGATCTTGCGCTCTAATTCCCGCATCTTAGCTTCGCTCTCCATCTTCAAATTGTACAAAGCAAAGCGAGCCTCTTTATCCGCTGCATTGTGGAACGCCGAGCTCTTGAGTTTCTTCTCCGCGTCCACAGTCTTCTCAATCACACGCAAGAACTGCTCGTCCTGGATGTCCATGTCTTCACGAGGATCCAGAAGCGGCACACCTTGAGGGAATCGACGCAGCACTTCCTTCACAGACTTGCCGACTGCTTGGCGACTCTCAAGTGTACGTAAATCCTTGGGGATGTACACACGCAGAGACGAGATGAGATCCAGCATTTCCAGCGGGACAGGGCAGATCTTCATCTCGTAATTAGCAGAAGTTGACAGCCCCATCATGTTCTCAGGTGCCGGGGTCGGTAACTCCGAGACGGTACTGCCATTGGTGGCATCATTGGCCTTGGTGTTGCCGTTATTGGTCATACAGTTCAACAGCACGTGCACAACCGTATCAGGTGTAGCTGAAGTCGAGTCACTAGCGTTCTTGGTCGTAAAATTCACGATCACACCCCAATCCCACTTGGGTCTAGTGGTGCCATCGTCGCTGTCTGGACAGTAGAGCTTCACCAAGCGTCCGCCATTAAGGAAGCGCACCACGTAGTCGGGTTTGTTGCGGATAGCCAGGAATTCCTCTTTAAGACGCACAAGAGATCTCGACAGGTAGTAGTACTGAGCCACCTCTTCCTCGTTCTTGATCACGATCTGGTCCTTCTCTTCTTTCGCGCGTTCCAGCGCTTCTTCTAACACTGGGGCGGCTTGTTCGTTCTGGAATTGATGGAAGGACTGCTTGATCATGTATTCTGGGTCGGCATCTTCCACTCGCATCAAGTTGAGCAGCATATTGTAGCCAAGATGGAACGTACTGAACAGCGGATCAGCTTGGCCGTACAAGATTCCTTTAGCCACTTGAGGTTCCATCTGCTCACTCAGCATTTGAATGACGATACCACGCGCATCAAGTGAACGACGACCTGCACGTCCTGACATCTGAATGTACTCGCCTGCAGTGATCCAGCGGAAGTCCTTGCCGTCGTATTTACGGCAGTTCGTGAACACCACCGTCTTGGCAGGCATATTCAGACCCATCGAGAACGTCTCAGTAGCAAACAGGCACTTCAGCAGCCCTTCACCGAACAGAATCTCGATCACTTCCTTCAGAATCGGCAGCAAACCACCGTGATGGATACCAATACCACGACGTAGCAGCGGTAGAATAGAGTCCACTTGTGGTAGAGCACGGTCGTCGTCTGACAGCGAGTCCATAGCGTTCTTGAAGAGCTGATCCACCGACTGCTTCTCCTCTTCGGTATTGAAATCAAGCTTGGACATGAGCAACGCGTACGCCTCACACTCCCGTTTACTGAACGAGAAGATAATTACTGGATCATATTGACGCTCCATGATGAGCTTGACGATCCGGAACACGTCGGTGCCGATTTTCTTCTTGGGATTGCTCTTCTGCGCTTTACGTCGCTTCGTGTTGCTCCCGTACGAGGCCAGTTCTTGCGCTGCATCATCCGCAGAAGCCGACAACGTCGCAATGGCCTTCTGGAAGTTATCTTCGCGGAACTTTCCCTTCTCGTCGACCACCAAGTGCAGCCCATTGCCTCCAGCAGGGAAGATATAGTGCTGTAACGGAGTGGGACGGTAGTCTGTGTACACGACGTGACATGGTTGGTGGTGGATGTGGCAGATCCATCCAGCAAACTCCTTGGAGTTGGGGATAGTAGCCGACAGGAACACGAACCGAACTTTGTGTGGCAGTAGAATGATACTCTCCTCCCAGACCACACCGCGTTCCTTGTCTCTCATGTAGTGGATCTCATCGTAAATAACCCAGGCCACTTCTCGCATGACCTCGGAGCCTCGATATAGCATACTTCTTAGAATCTCCGTAGTCATGATCAAACAAGTGGCGGATGGGTTAATTGTGATATCTCCCGTCATTAAACCCACATCTCCGAACTCTTCCTCCAAATCTCGGTACTTCTGGTTACTCAGAGCCTTAATAGGGGACGTGTAGATCACTCGCTGCTTGTCTCGAAGACTCTTGGCAATAGCGTACTCAGCTACGGCAGTTTTACCGGCTGACGTGTGGGCTGAGACTAGTACGGACTCTCCAGACTCGATATAGTCCACAGCCTGTTGTTGGAATGGGTCCAGAGTGAATGGGTATGTCTTGGCGGGGTTCTTGGCGGCTGCACCTGCTGTAGATTTAGCCTCATAGTCTGGTGGGTAGACGGAGAACGAAATGAGGTTCTTCTGCTGTGTGCCAGTGGACACTACATTCGCAGAGTGTTTGTCATTGCTGTCGACGGGCGTCGCGTCGATGCGTTTGCCCTCCACGACTTTGAGATTAGTGGAGGCTAGACGACCTTCATTCTGCTGCTTCTTTGCAGGCGGAGACGACACTTTGTCATCGTTTGGAGAGGCAGCAGGTGCTTCTTTGCGCTTGGTGGAAGTGGAGGAAGCGGCCGCTTGTTCCTCGGCCGTTAACGTCGCGGACGAGTCGTCGAACGCACCGAACAGGTCCAGGTCCTCGTCCATTGTTGTAGCTACTTGAAAAATGGCTGGAGGTGACAAAATGACTGGATAAATTTTAGTGTGGACCACAAAAATAACGCGAGCAGCACAAAAAAATACAAAAGAAATCTAATTTTTATAGAAAAGAGGGTTTCATTTTCTCTGATTCAGTACTTGAAGTACAGCGTTTAAACACTGGTTGTTTTTGTTTTGTTTTTTTAAGCCCAAGACATTTCTTGAAAATGTTCTGGGTCCATGTATGTCTGTGAGGATTTCTGTGGTTAATTCGGTAAGGAGCGAAAGAAGTACCTGCAAATACCGTGCTTGCGGAATGGTGATCGCAGAAATGCTGCAACTGGAGAAGAAGTTTAACGAAAGGAGCCAAGAAGCTCAAGTGCGGTATCGTGCTTGCTGCTTCCCTTTATCTGTAGTTTAGGTTCGATGCATCAATTCAAGCTGGACGAGTCAGAAAAGTTTATTTCAATAGCACCCTTCGAGTCAGTGGCCTCGTCAACTACGCAGACAACGCACCAACATCCACACCACAAGAAAGAGTATGGCATTTTTGCCGATCACAGAGCCCCAAGTACTCGTCGCTTTTGTTCCGCTATATTTGCATATAAGTATAGGCTTGGGACGATAAGCGCAATAAAAGCTCTCCAAAACACCATGCTAATGATGTCGCTCGTTAGCTTCTTGTTACTTTGTTTTGAAACGATTTTCCAGCTCGCTGCGTTCACCAAGTACTTCTAGAATTTTGTTTTCAAAATGACGCCTAACTTCCTCGTTCTCAAGCTGAAGATTGAGTATATCCCATTGGTTACTCCGTGACAACACTTCTACGCTTTTCTTCACCATTGAAATGTCATTGTACCACTTGTCATATTGCTGCTGAGCTTCATCTTTCTGTTCCCCGCGCACATTCGCAACGTGGCGTGAAATATATTTTTCACATTTTCAATCTGCGGTTTACACAGCGGCTGTTCATTCTCCTTCTCATATTGCCTTTTGAGTGCTGCGAAGGCGTCTTCCTGTTTGCGCAGCCGAGTCTCGAAATCATCTTGAAGCCGTCTGTACTCAGCATCAAACCCGTTGCGTTGCTCACGCAGCTGAAGTTCAAACGCTGATTTCAGCTGCTGAAGTTGTGTGTTGATATCCTTTTAATACTTCGTTCGAACAGTGGCTGCATCAGCTTGTATTGCAACGAATGCCACTTGCATTTACTGCTGTAAACATGACAGTTTCGTGTGCGTTTGCTCCTCTGAACGTCTCAGTCTCATCTAATGTGCCAATAGATGTGAAAGTGTTGGCCTTGTTTCTGGGGGGGGGGGGTTGCTCTTGCTTCAGGTGCGCAAAACAGCTCAGCGGCTGGTTATGGGTTTCATCAGGACTCCCCTTAAGTAATTTCTTGATGGAACGGCTCAAGTAGGCCTTGTGAAAGCGCGAAGAGTATACCGCTCTTAAATGGTCGGGCACCTCGCTAACTGAGCGAACACCGTCGTACATCTCCACGCTTTAATTTCCGTTCTTGAAGTACATTTCAACACGGTCGAGAAATGAGGGAGTCAGCTCACCCACCACTAACAGTAGTGCTTTCTTTCCCTCGCCAAGGACGCCGCTTCTATCATCTGACAGGTCATGCTTGAACAATTTCTCCAACGTGCGGTGTTCGGGTGCGCTCTTATGCCTGACGTCCCAACCTGCATCTTGGAAAGCTTCCACGTCGCTTGAGTCCAAGTAGTGATGACAACAGCGAAAGAATTCAATATATCCACAGTGGCGAGTGAGAAATTGCGTCAGCTTGTGTGCGTCAAGCGGAAATCCCTGCGCCAATATGTTGCTTGAAAATTCGCTGGAGTGCCTTTGTATGTGAGCACGCACATTCTGGTTGAGAGTCGAGGTCCGAGAAAACGTATCGCTTGGGTGGCATTGGTGCTTCCCTTTTCAGAAGTTACTGAGTGAGCGGAATTGACATAACCACTTGTCATTGACAAGGAAACGATTTTTTTTTTTTTTTTGAAACTGAACGATATTGTCATTCATCTAGGCTCTTCAATTTCCACTAAAGAACTCGTGTGCGCACATAAAACTAATTCTTACCAATCAAACATGCTTATTGAACTTTTATCCCTCCAATCAAATGTCTCCTCTTCCAATTCCAGCGCTCCAGTCAAAACCAAGAGGCATTCGAAGTGTCAACTTGTGCATCACACCTTCATCACCGCTGCAACAATGGACGAGGAAGGACCGCAGGTTCGATAGCAGAAACTCCTTCAACAGCAAATAGTATATATCGCGGCTAATCTCATCGTGTCAATGCTGTACAGGTTCGCGTCAAGTTCGTGACTAAGGACGCATCTATCCGCGTGACGGAGACTCCGTTCGCGGTGCCTACGCGTCTCAATCGCCGCGGACTCTCGCAAGTGGTTAACCACCTGTTGGCCACGGGCGACTCACCTCGGCCTTTTGACTTCCTTATCGACGGTTTGTTTCTGCGCTCGTCGCTGGACAAGTATCTGCAGACTCACGGCGTCTCAGAGGAGGCTCTGCTCACACTCGAGTACGTGGAGGCGCTTCCTGAACCGCAAAAGCAGAACGGCAGTGACCATCCGGACTGGGTCAGTGCTGTAGCATCTCTGGATGACGAACTGGTCGTCACCGGTTGCTATGACGGCGTACTGCGTGTGTACGACGCTCAGGGAGACTGCAAGGCCTCTGTGAAGGCTCACCAGGGCGCCATTAAAGCAGTGAGTGTAGCATCCAGCAAGAGTGGAGAGTTTATCATTGCCAGCAGTGGCAAAGATCAGCTCGCACAGCTCTGGAGATACACGATTAAGTTGTCCAAATTGTCGCCAATGGCAGCTCTTACCGGCCACTTGAACAGTGTCGACGCCGTGCAGATGCACGCGTTGGGTAAGCGTGTAGTTACTGGCAGTTGGGACAACACAGTGCGTGTGTGGCAGACCCCGGAGGAGTCAGGTGAACAGCGCTCGGCCAAGAAACACAAGAAGACGGAGGACGACGCCGGTGCCGTGAGTTTCCAACAACTCGAAGCCGAAATCGTGCTGGTGGGCCACACGAGCTACGTGACGGGCGTAGCGTTCCGTCCCAAGACCTCGGAGCACGACGAAGACGTGGTTGTATCTGCCGGCAGCGACCGCAACGTACGTCTATGGGACCTTGTGACCCAGTCCTGCTCGCAGGCACTTGTCGGTAACCGTGCCGTGTCCGATCTCAGTGTCAACGCGAACGGACTTATCCTCACGGCCCACCCGGACCACTGCGTTCGTCTATGGGACCCTCGTGCTCAACAGAGTGGCGAGAGTATCGTTCAGCGCACATTCCGCTCACACAAGGAGTGGGTGAGCTCCGTGGATTGGCATCCGGACAGCAACAACGAGCACCTGTTCGTGTCTGGCAGCTACGACGGCACAGCCAAGGTCTGGGACGCACGCAGTACAATCCCGCTGCACACTGTGAGTGCACACGAAGGCAAACTCCTTGATCTAAGCTGGAGAAACCAGAACGAGGGCGTGGCTTTCGTCACTGGTGGTGACGACAAGAAACTCAACTTCTTCAGTGTGTAAAGAGCAGATAGAGAAAAAAAACACTGACATGTTCTTGTTTCCTACGCTGTCTGCTTGACTTCTGCGTTTATTCCCAAGCCAGTAGCTTCTCGAGTTCCTCAATGTCGTCTGCAGGGGCCTGAGTGATCGGACGTGCGTAGTACTCTTCAATCTCTGCGAGGTCCTGCTTGCTCTTGTTGTCGTACACGAAATTAATAGCACAGCCCTTGCGGCCAAAGCGACCGGTACGGCCGATACGGTGCAGATACGTCTCCGGGTCGGGACGGTGGTCGCGAGTCAGCGGGATGTCGAAGTTGACGACAAGTGAGACGCCCGCCACGTCGATACCACGAGCCAGAACGTTCGTGGTGATCAGCACGTTGGTCGTGCCGGCACGGAACTCGTCGATGACCTGGTCACGCACCTCCTTGGCCATGTCGGCGCCGTGTAAAATACCGACCGAATGGCCCTTCTCACGCATACGACGCGTCAGTTCCTTGGCAGTCTCGCGCTGTTGTACGAAGATGACGCACTTGCCGATGCTCAGGATGGCGAAAATGTCCGATAGCACCTGGAATTTGTTCTCGCGGGACTTGCAGTCGATCCAGAACTGCTTGATGCCGTCGAGCGTGAGCTTCTCCTTCTTGACCGTGATAATGTTGTGGTCGGGCACCATTTTCTGGGCGAAATCACGCACATCGTCAGCGTATGTGGCCGAGAAGAGCAGGTACTGGCACGCGCGGTTCTTGATGAATCGCTTGATAGACACCGAGCGTTCGCGCATGCCGTCCTCGGCCACCATGACGTCAGCTTCGTCCAGTACGAAGATCTTGACGTTACGAGTGTCCAGTTGTTTCTTCTTGATCATACCCTCGATCTTGCCGGGGGTACCGACGATCACCTGTGCCTTCAAAGTCTCACCCCGAGCCAGATCGTTGCCGGGGATGGCCAGGAACGTGTCCACGCCAAGGAACTTACCCATAGCGTTCACCACGGCCATAATCTGTCGCACTAACTCACGGGTGGGACCCACACAGACAGCCTGTGGAGCCTTGAGGTTCATGTCCACGCGGTACAGCATACCCAGCGCAAAAGTGGCGGTCTTGCCACTGCCGCTCTGAGCCTGGCCGATCAAGTTCTCCGGGGGACTGCCACAAGTAATGTATAAGTACTTATACTTTTCTACAATATATGAATTTGTACTTACTCGGCGAGGATAAGCGGCAGCGCTACGGACTGAATCTTGGACGGCTTGGCGAATTTCATGTTGTATACGCCCTTGAGCAGCGGTTCCGGCCTGTTATCATAGTATTCGTTGGTATAAATACAGCAATATTATAGGTGAAGTAGTGTATTACGCACAGGTTGAGCTCCTCGAAGGTGACGGCCGAGTAGAGGTTGGAGTTGGGGTCATTCTGCAACACCTCGAGCTCGGCCTTGTAGTCCTCGTCATCCAGACCCTGGCCCAGAGCCAAGATCTCCTCCAACGACTGCGTGACCTCCTCTACAGCTTCCTCGGCCTTCTTCTCCGTCTCGACGGGCGGCGCGACCTCCTCCGTCGTCTTAGCAGCAGCGTCCGTCTCGCTCATGGTGGAAAACTCTTATCCGACAAATGAAGCCAAATCTCCCTCCCTTTTTCAGCCAACAGCTTTTCAAATTATGAATCTACATAGTTTCAAAATATGCAGGTCCGATACAATAGCTGCATGATAGGATCAAGCGTATTGTTAGTTTTCCTTTGAATGACTAGTTACTAAAGCGAGAGTTCGTCAGCCATTATCAGATTTGGCAAACGATGACGCCACGCTTGCGCTTCGAGGCCGCCCGCGGCAACGTGTGGCTCGATGGGGAGCCCTTCTTCCTCAAGGGCGCGAGCTTCTTCGGCATGGAGAGCGACATATGTGTGCCACATGGGCTGTGGGGTGGTCCAGACTCCACAACACTGGCTGCGGTGGCGCATCTACTGCGCTCGAACGGCTTCAATCTCGTTCGTATTCCCCTGGCGGTGGCTGCAGTGGCGAATAACATCGAGGTGGACAGGTACAAGATGGGCAATGAGACGGCATTACTCAAGGCCTTTGAAGGGCGGGAGTTGCGCTACCTGGACGTGCTGGACTACGTAATCCATGAGCTGGAGCGCCATGATCTACTGGTGCTGCTAGACGCTCATGTGATGCAGCCTGCTGGCGCAATTACCCCATTGTGGTATGACGATAGCCAGTGCTGTCCGGAAACTGTGGTAGAGCAGATGTGGACGACACTGGCGTCGAGATATGCGAATCAATGGAACGTACTAGGAGCTGATCTCAACAATGAGCCTCATGGAGAGGCAACTTGGGGCTCGGGAGACATCAAGACGGACTGGAGACTCGCTGCAATGAGACTAGCTGAGAAGGTGCTTACGGTGTGTTCTCACTGGCTGATCTTTGTGGAGGGGGTACAGACAACGAGCTGTGATGCTGGACATGAGATGCCTTGCTTCTGGGGCGAGGATCTACAAGCTGTTGGTCAACACCCAGTAAAGCTATGTGTGGACAATCGACTAGTTTATTGCCCACACACGTACGGGCCTGCAGTGTCGTGGCAGCCCTATTTCAATGCAGAGGACTTTCCAGCTAATATGCCTCGAGTCTGGGATACCCACTTCGGATATCTCAAGCAGCAGTCGGAGGTACCGCTGGTGATTGGCGAGTGGGGTGGTCGCCATGACAACCCAAAAGACTGGATCTGGCAGTCGCGGTTTGCTGAGTACGCGCAGCAGATTGGCGTCAGCGGTGTCATATTCTGGTGTGTGAATCCGAACGGAGGAGACACGGATGGCTTGTTGTGCGCAGACTGGCGTACACCGAATGGCAACGCTCTTCAGCTACTGTCACGTTTTACCGGAACGCCAGTGCCGCCATCATGTTGAGTGAGCTGGCACGATTGAAGAAGACTATCCTGTTGTTTTCTTCATATATTATCAAGTACTTCAAGACATGTTAGGCTTACCAGCATAGTCCTTGCACCTAACAAAGACTTCAAACTCCAAAAATCAGTTTAAACCACTTGGTGGTCGATGTTCTGCTTCAGAGGCGACATCTCGGTAGCCTGGTAACGCGGTATCGACACCTTACGAGGCGACAACTTGTGGTATTTCATACGACGCACACGTGTGCGGATAGCAACCAGCAGGAAGAAGAATACGCCACCGAACAGACCCAGCATCATAAAGTCTGAGAACGACGTGGTACTCTCAGCAGGCACCACATTGTTCGAGGTAGTAGGGATCATCATAGATTCACTGCAGTCCGTGATGATATCTCCCTCTGTGGTCAAAGATCCATTGCCCCACATGGTCGTAAGCATCGACACCGTCGGTCTCGCGCGTAGCACATTGGGCAACGTGTCCGACGTAGCACGTGAGGCACTGTAGAGTCCAAAGAACTCTTCCGACAGGTACCCAAGCGGGAACTGGCCGTTCTTAACTATCCCCAAGTTGTGTTCATCCGGGTTGCCAGCTTTCCACCACTCGTCACTGTACTCGAACACGAATCCGCCCACAATGACTTGCTCGTTGACTCCGTCAGTTTGTTGGAAGTTATTCTGTAAGGCGAGAGTCTGCTGAGTCAGCAGATCTGCCACGTAGTTGAGCTGCAGAGTGTTACCGATGCCCTTATCGGATGCATACGGGTATCCGTACTCACTCACGAGCAGTGGCTTACCGCCGGGGACTGCCTGGAACTTGGGGATCACTGATCCAGGGTAGTCCGTCTGGTAGACGTTGGAGCCCCACATATCGACGTCGGCGTTGTGCTTCTCACCGGCTCTGAAGGTCTCTCCACCGTCATCTACAAACGTAGTGGTGATAATCTTTTGTGCGTTGTTATTTTCTTTCAGCCCACGACGCACAGCGTTCGTAAGGGCATGGAATTTGCTCCAGAAGGATTCGTCCTGGATGACAGTGACGCTGTTCATTTCGCCACCGATGGAGTAACCCATGACGCCAGGGTGGTTACCCGTCTGCTTGGCCATGAGGTAGTATTCCTGCACTAGGTGCTGGAACTCCGAACTACTCTCAGGTAGATCGGGCTGCATCATGGACTGGTCAATCCAAATAGAGAAGATAGTGTAGACCGGGTCCATGTTGTTGTTGTAGGCGGCGTCTAGGTAGGCCTGGTGGTCTACGTAGCTGTAGAAATCGTACGTCTTGACGGCGTTGGCGTTCATGAGACGTAGATTTTGTAGATCGCGCAGGAAGATCGTGGGCTCGCCCAGCATGTCCAGTCGACCGGGTTTGCCAATAGGCGTGGGAGCGTAGTTGACGCCGCGCACGAAGAAATTGTGTCCGTCTTTGAGCAGTTTACGCCCGCAGGCGCTCCACTGTGTGTTCTCTAACGGTGTGTTGTTGCTGGGCTCCATTGGCAATCGGTGAAGTGTGTCGAACGTGGCAAGTTGTCAAGTGAGAATCGAAGCGGAAGAACGGGATCAGTGGATCTTATTAGGCTGCTTGGGTGCACGCACGTACGTTTTGCTGGGCGTGACGTGGTTTTGGTGCTCATGCTTGTCACAATGCACGAGCTTCGAAAAATGGGATGGATGTCATGGTAGTCGGAGTTCTGTTTTTCTTAGTCAAAACGAGATACGGAAGGGTGACAACCACTGCAATGTGATGGCTGATTGTCGAATGCTGTTCCGCGAAAACGAGGATTTGCTTGTTACGATCTTGGGCGGGTTTCGATGATATCATGCAGTGGCGCGTACGGAGCTCTCAGCGGCAGCAGCAGCAGCAGCAGGAGGGGCAAAGCTAAGCTGGCATCGCTTGCGTAGTCGCGCTGCCGCAGCCATGCAAGCAATGTAGGTACTTCCGCTGTGACCTCGGTGGTGACTGAATGTGTGTGCTAGCACCGCACGGCGTTGCTCTTCATGTGTATTTTATATTGACAGAGCACTGCGACACCAGGAACTGCGAGAAGTTCCCAGCAGCCAAAATGCTGTTGTCTATCACAAGCTCTACAACTCGGGTTTTTGTATGGGCGATGTTGAAGTGGATGACTGAGTACAAATCCATGTAACTGCGTAAACGTGACTGCGCCGTCGTTGCTCGGAACGACATAGATGCATTTTCTGAGTATCCCGTCGCCCCACGAATCGCGGGCAGCGATGGCCAAGATGGTGGCGACGCCCTTGCATCCATACTTGACCAGCCTCAAGAGCTTCACCATTCTGAATACTTCAGTAGTGAAGTTGTAAATCGCGAGTGCAATAACGCTCAAGTTAGCGCGTTCTTGGTGATTTTTTTTTCGGAGCTGGCAGTGACGAACTCGCTGGACTGCAGCAAGGATGGTATCGGCCCCTTAAGACTTGCAGGGGCAACACCCTCCAAATGCTGTTGTAACGCCCGCCAATGACTTCATACCGCTTCAGTCTGTGCTGGACACAGTGTCCACAACTCTTCGCTCGAGAACATGAACAAAACACACTTAACAGTTGAGGAAGTTGCAAAACACAGTCCATTTTCATATTTCAGGCCCTTCTCTAAATAAATAAATCTACTTGGCTCTACTTGGGTCGCTGGTCGCATGCATAGTACTCGATGCATTTCCATTTGCTGTACAGCGTCTACGTTACTTTTCTTGCTTTTTTTTCAATTCTACTTCTGCTACTTGTTTCAAAATACGGACTTTATGTGCAGGCCGCGGGCGGAGGAGTAGACCCCACGCGTGGTCGACTTGGAGAGCGGGCAAGACGCTCATTAACTTAAATGGACGGGGTCGTTGGGTGAGAGTGGCCAACACTGGAAGCCACGGAAGGGTGACGCGACACCTTAGACGGTGCTGTTCGAAATCTCGTCGATGAAGTGTTCAAGGAAGAAAAGGTCCTCCTCGAACAGGTCCACGGGCGTGTCGGACGGTTCCATGTCGATCACTGGCGTGTCCACCATCATATAGTCCACCGCCGCGTCCATTCCGATGCCAATGTCCAGCTCCGCGTCCATCCACGAGAACATGGCGGCGTCATCCATGACGGCGCTGCCGCTACCGAAGCAGTCGATGCCGCGCGGGCTGCCCGCGTTGTTGAGCACAGGCGGGACGACAACCGCCTTGGGGTGCGAGATCGACTTGGGGATGGAAGCGGGGCGCTCGGCCTTGATCACCACCTCGCGCTTGGCCTCGGCGGAGACTTTGTGCGAGCGGCGCGAGCCACTGTTCTTGGTGCGTGGTGACGCAGAGCGGCCTTGCTTGCGACGCTGCTCCATGCGGCGCTGGTTCGTGTTGGCCTTTTGGCGATGGTACTCGCAGAACTTGTGTAGCTCGCCATTGCGCTTCTCGACGCGCCAGCTCCAGCATTTCTTGCTGGGGTAGCCGCAGAGCAGCGGCGAGCGCTTCTGCTGCGCGTCGACCATGGCAGCAGAGGGCGGCTGCATGGACAGGTGCGCCACGTGCGGCGGCATGGGCTGCAGCATGCCCGTCGGCGTGGCGACGGCCGAGTGCCGGGCGAACGAGGACAGGAGCTCACCGCTCGAGTACGTCGTGGAGATGACCATGGCAAACTGGGGGTTCGGCTGGACGCAGATTCGCAAATGCCTCCGCGTGCTGCGTAGCATGAAACCTGCCCGTCGTCGGCACCAGTGGCTTGGCATGGACGCGATTTTTCACACGCAGGTGCGTCGCGGACCTGTTGCCGCTCCGGCGTCTTCCAGCAACGGTACTGAGCTCCGGAGCAGCCAGCCCGGAGCACCGCCTCGTCTGCTTGGATCGAAAAGTGCGAGCCCTCGGTTTAGTGACCGCCCTAGTGACCGGCGTATCGCAGGAAGGCTTGCACCGAATTGACAAAGCAGAAATTGTTTCGTAAAATGGTCGGCTCCGACTGACATTAAGGGGTTCGAATCAAGGGAGGTCGTTATTGGGAAGGCTGACTCGCCGTTTAAGGAGACGTAGACGGGCCAGCATGACTGCTCCGTCCCTGCTCTATGCTGGTGAACCTTGAAGCTGAGGGCCAATCACAGCGCTGGAAATGACCTGCTATACTCAATATTTCAAGAAGTCAACAGGACTTCAGATTCAGCAGGCGCTGCGCTTGCAGGCATCTTCCAACGACTACTTCGTCTCAAGTTTTTTTTAGGTTACGCCGGTAATTTCACTCACTCTATGGAGGACAATCTTTCAGCGTTGTGCTCGTTGCCAGCTCTGCATTGCTTATAATACCGATCGCTTTTTGATATTTAAATTTTTAGATTTGACGGAGTGTTTAGCGATCTCAAGACGCGCGGGATACTTCCTGATGCACCACCAAACGGGTTCGCTCTACATACATTATGACACCAGACAAAGACGCTCTTGGTTTAGATTTTCTGTTATTAATAGATATGTTACTGAGGCCACGTAGCACACTCATCACTGGCAGTTGAGGAGACTATATCGGGCTTCTCTACGAATAATTTGTCTCCTGTTGTAGCAGTGACAGAATATAGTATACACATATTTTCTGCTGCACGAGGAAGAGCAATACCTAGCAGCTCAAGCCTCCTGCCCAGCACAGGTACGCTACAAATTGCTTCGTTTTAGGGCCGTTTGAATCGATGTAACAGCAACTTATCCGACACCGTATCGTGGTTCACGCTTGCATTCTTGAGCGCAAAGTTTGTTTTAAAACGACACGTAGTGAATAAAGCTTGCGTATTTTTTCTCTTGTTCAAATAGAAGCGTGGTGATGCTTTCAGTACGTCTATACGTATATCCAAGGTGAAATCAACTAGCTCTAAGCAAAACTACGGTTTGGACAGTTGGTGCATGTATGTAGTAGCTCACTGCTCAAGCAGCGGTGAAGTCAGCAAAAAGCCGAGCAATTAATGCTCGTATCAATTACTACAGATAACGTTACGCAATAAAATAATGGACACCATCCTAAAATTATTACAAGAACGAAGGATGCTCGCCGCTCGCTCCCGCGCAGCTTCATGCTGAAACTACTTAAGCTCTACCGTTTGCTTCTGCGGGTATAGTACTCATTGCAAGTGCGTATATCGGTCCAGTAGCTGGTAGCGTTATTAGCCCGGCAGCGGTGCAGTGCTGCCCTGCGCAGTGCTTGACCGACGACCGACGGCAGGACGATCGTTCGGATGACTGTCCCATGCGTGACTTGACCACCACAGCGGCGACATCATAACAGCTGGCCGGCGAAATCGAGCTTTGCGCGTTCGATGGAGACGGGCGTGGGCAAGCTTATTCTGACGGAGATGAGAGTTATAGAGCCACGCGTGGCAGCACTGCTGCCAGCAAAGCGTCGCGGCAAATAAAAGTCGTTGGCCAAGTTCGCTAGCCACCCTGATCGTCTATTGCTGACTCGCGCGGCATTGCTCGACGAACGTTCAGAGGTCCAGGCAAAACTATGACGGAGGAAATACGAAAGATACGCGATCTTTGCTCGCCACAGATATGCGGGCGTAGACGGGACACATGGGTACCACTTGGGCCGGGGCAAAAATATTCGCGTCGTCGGTGCTCCTCCGCGTGTGCCTCGGCTCCGACGGCCAGCGCCCGGCCTCTGCCGCGCCGACTGCCCTCTCTTCGCGGCTGCGGTCCCTCCCCCCTCTTGCCTTTGCCCGGGCGTTAACACGGCTTCGATCCGGGATCAGTTGCGCCCCCCCGCGGCAGCGCGCAATTGCCGTAACGATTTGCCGCTTTGGGCACGGCACTGCCGTGACGGCAGTCCTGCGGCAAGCTGAGCTTACGGCACAAGCACGCCGTGCGACGCGCTGGGGAAGTCATCGCAGGCGACCTTGCAAGCTTGATTGCTGCGGTGGGAATTCAGGGCGGTGGGCGCTGTCGTCAGCGAGGGCGACGACGAGAACCTCGATGAGACTTACGAGTTGCATTTGGTTGTTCTGAAAAGTATCCTCAGCCAACGCGCGTGCGTCATCACGACATTCCATGGTTTTGGAAACTTCTTGGCGCATATCAGCGCAAACGGGACTTTTGGAGTGTCTCGACGATCCTGCGCACCGAGTCTCACCATCGGCGGGCGCTTGCAAGTGCTAGTTGGCGTGTTTGCTGGCAGCAAGTTGCAAGTCCTATTATAGCACAGCTTGAGCTACGGAGCCTTGACACGCGGCCCCCCTGGAGACCATCCGTGCCCGACGCTCGTCAATCTTGGCGGCCAACTGCTTTCGCGGCACTGGCAGGAAGACCTCTGCGCCGACAGACCTTGCGGCCAAGTTGAAGTGAGCCTTTGCAACTCGACCACCGAATGCCTCGCATCTGAACTCTCGCTCTGGCCACTGCGCTTGTCGCTTCAACACGTTTGTCCCTGCAACACAACGGCGATCGAGCAATATTTGGCGTGTCTCGAGTGCTGTACCACTCGCTGCAGTTTTCAAGCGAGTGCCGCGCGTTGAGCGATGCAAGACGATTGCATAGCAACTAGCGTTACGTCGGCGGCCAAACAGTAGCTGATGCAGCGTGATTCACGATGTATTGCTCACTATTTCAATCACTCCTCGAATCTCCTCCAAAACGGAGTCACATCTGCGCCACACGCTCACACGTTGCTTCACTTGCATTGAGAGCATCCTAGAACGAGAGATTCGCATCGAGCAGCAAGATTTCTCTCTTCTGCTGCGGACAGTCCGCAAAACTATCGCTGATACGTTGAAATGGAAGCTGTTGAGCGCTGAATGGAGACCATCACCAAGACGCTGAACGGCATCCGATGCTTAATTATCTGGCCTGCTGAAGATGACATCGAAGAGATCGCTGCTCCCACTGCAAGATTTAGCTTCGCGAACTGCGTTGGGCTTATGGATGGAGCTCTAATCTCAAACTGGAGGCCAAACTTGGAGGGGGGCTTGCTCAGTGCTCTCGTATCCAGTTGGAACGCTTCGACAGTGTCGAATCGACACCAAGCCATCCCAGAAAACTTTGACGTTTGTGCTGATGCATTAAAATGTGGTTGAGCGCACACTAACCTCCAAACAGGCGATAACTTAGCAGCAAAGAGTACTCTCCCGTGGTGCAGCCAATGAGCTCAAAATTTTCGAGCTCTTGTTACCAAAGTACGGACTCTATGGCTCATAGGCTGTGTGAGTCATCAGCGCACTAAGCCGTTATCGTCAGGACAGAAAGAATACTTCGAAGTAGTACTTCGTATTGGAGCCACTAGCTTCTGGTACCCGAGCTACGAATAGGACTCTACTGAACAGCAAGTATTCGCCTGCTACAAGGGAAAGATTGATTCGCAGTGTGCAATGAGTAAATACATTAATACATACATTTTAAGTATCTAATTCCCTTCTTGGTTTCATCCTTTTCGCTTTGTTCGTCATCTTAGAAGTACTCGCCTCCTCCGATGGGGTCGACGGCGAAAAATTGCGGACACATCTCCAACACGGTAGTCCAGGTTGCTTGGGGGTCTCCAAACGTGTTCAAACTGCGGGTGTCGATAGTTGTGCTTGGCCAGTCTCTCTTGGCGGTCCGGTATTCAAGCTCCAACTCGGACATCATCATCTGCATCTCACGTTCATTACCCTCGCAGGGTTCGATAGGCTTCATTTGGGGTCGTATTTGGGTATCCGTATTGCGCTGGTTTGGCTTGAGACGGTGGTATGGTTTGAGCCGCATATTCTGCTTCTGTGTCTTCTTCGAATACGACGTGGGAGGGCGTGGCAGCATTGGAGGAAGCAGCGGTATTGACGGCGCAGGTGGTGGCGGAGGAGGGAGAAGCGATGGCAGCAGAGGCACTTGCGGAGGACCACGAGTCATGGGCGGGCCCACGAAGAGATACAGGTCGTTGAAGTCCATTGTCTCCTATCGAGTAAATGTGCGAATGAAGACACATTCTCCATCTGCTGGATGCCGCTCACCATAGCGATGGTACCTCCCTGGAACACTAAGATGGTTAACTGCCTGCCTGGGACGATTTGCGCAGTAATCTAGGTACCGAGATGCTCTTTAGGATCTTGATGAAGTGCGAGTTTGTCTACTGAGGTCTCACGCAGGTGCTCCAAACTCACCAAACTCACCTGTATCGTGGAGCTCCACTGGAATGAACCATTTTTTGCTGCAGTCGTGGCATACAGCGAATATTTTAGAGCAAACGGGACAAGGAGTCATCTTGCCGATCTAGGATTGTCACGGTACATGTATCAATTGCACTTGAGATCCTCAAAAACACATGCTCGACGTTGAAGTGAGAGTCCATCATGACGCACTCCACCGAGACTGTGGAGCAGCTTAGTTTGGCACCAACACACAGTAATCGTTATCTTTGCTGCGTCGAGCAAGCAATCTGCTTTTTTTTTTTCATTCCGCTTCCTCATAACCTGAAGCAAAGTTCCTTCTCGCTGTGTCTGGAAGATCCGTATCAACTATTGTACATCGTCTTGGAATAGCGAGCTTCCAGCTCCTGGAAGTCAATGATATTATCGAAGTACTTGTGACGGATCGTCATGGCTGCCAGGTCGCCGTCTCAGCTACGAATCCCCTCCGACTAGCTAGGCCGCGGTTGCTAGCGCGACAAGTTTGTTCGAATTCAACGGAGCTCGTTCGTGGCATGCTTTTGACCAGTTGAGAGCTTTCTCAAAGAACGTTCATGAAACTTCTTAATCACCGTCAAACCATCTCGTGACGAGACGAGACTCGTCTGAGTGCTCACCATCGTCGCAGCATTCGTCGCAAAACGGAGTTTGAAACACGGGCACCTCCAAGTTGAAGCAATACATTCCCAATTACAGGAATTCAAATTCTCAAATGTATTGCCACCACATCGTCGCACTTCAACCGTGCGAGTTGTACCCGCGGCTTCTCTTCGTAGTTGCTTGTTTTCTTTTGATACTTCCTTCTTTGTGTTCTCGGTGGAATTGTTACGTCACCTGATAACGAGTTGGATTTTAAGTGTACCTCGCTGCGCTGCGTGAGCCAATGCTGCCTCGGCTCGCTCCAGCGGGTACACGCCATGAATATATTTCTGCACGTCGATCTTGCGGTCACGTAGTAGTCGCAGCGCCCACGGAATGGGTCCACATCGGGATCCCACGACTCGTAGTCGCTTGCTTTGAGCCGCCCTAACGTCCACCGTCGACCGCTTCGTTGAGCATGTCGACTTCATAACAACAGTGCCGCGTTCCCGCACCAGTCTTATTGCCAGCGCGATGCCGCCGGGAGTTCCAGTGCTCTCGACGCACACATCGAATGGAGCCATTTCGTTGGCCATGCGATCTGCCAATGTTGCCATCTCGGCCTCTTCGCCACTGCTCAATGTGTAGACTGTGTTGACAAAATGTTTCGCTAACGCCAATTTTTCGCGGTGCTTTCCCACGAGAGTGATGGCCTTCGCAACTCCAGTTGCATGCAAAACCTCTGCCACCATAAGCCCGAGTTTGCCATCTCCAAGCACCACAACGTTGTCGGTTGGCTGAATAACCTGTTGCTCCAGGATTCGACACGCTGCTGCAAGCGGCTCGGCAAAGACAGCGTGCGAGTCCGTCACTCCGTCGGGTACCTCAAATAAGTTCGCAAGTGGCAGCGTAATGTACTCAGCGAAGGCGCCATCTTTCCTCACAATGCCTAAACACGATCTGTTCGGGCAATGATTGCGCCGCATAATTTCCTCTCGAGACAATGCGTCACCGCTGTGGTTGCGCTTTAGACTACATCGAGCGCAAGTGGCGCAGTTGGACGCGTCGCAAGGAATGTTGATCTCCCCTACAACACGCTTGCCGAGCCATATCCGTTGAGTCTGTTCGTCGTTTACGAACTGGTCGCCAAGTTTGCGCACAATGCCCACGAACTCGTGGCCTAGCGCACCTTTGAAGCCCGGTTTGTAATTATTGATCATCTGTAGATCTGTCCCGCAAATACCTGCCCGTAACACCTCGATCAGCGCTTCATGGGGCGCCGGAGTTGGGACAAGGAGGTCAGTGATCAACTGCGGCGCTAGCCCGTTGCCTTGCAGACACAGACCCTTCATATAGCGTGGCTCTGTGGCATACCCTACGGCAGTCATGCCAATGGAACGACTGGTTGTCGCGTTATCTCCTTTCCCGAGATTTGAGAGCTTGTGTAGCTGTTGCGGTTGCACGACCACCTGTGGCATTTTAAACTTGGGATTCACGAGCGACAAAAACTCTCGGAACAGTTCACTCTGCAGAGCCTTCATAGGGATCACATCGGAGCGCAGCCAGCCCACAAAGGCGTCGTTATGCTTAGATTCCGCCGGATTATCCGCATTATCCGACATCTTGCAGCGCTTCAAAGGTCCATAATTGTCTTTAAGATGCACCACTTGCTGGTCATTAGCCCTCCAACTTGCAATCTCCGGGTCGTTTTTCATGGCCTGGTTCTTCATAGACAGTGGCGACTCCTTCTTGACGGGACTGTCAACACGGAAGACCTGTGGATGGTGGCGAAACAAATGCCGCTTGAGACTGTAGACCCTGTTGCCCATAGTCACTTGGCACAGCGTGCAGACCACATGAGCCTTCTCCGTCGCTGCATTGGTCGTCCCGGTACCTGTGCCAGCTACCACGGGCGCGACAAAAAAGTCTCTCGGACTTGCAAAAGCTTGCGTGGCCAGGAACGCTGCCGGAATGTTCGAGGACGAAGCTGGCGGCTTGTGAGTTTCCTGCGCCATCTCCACGTCCAATTCAAGCTTCTCGGGCTTGATGGTCACGTCTGCTAATGCCGAGGTGGCTGCCCAGAAGCTGTCGTCGCTGGTAGTGGGCGTGGGTGGTGAACTGATGAGGTTGGCGATGCTCATTTGCTTGCTGGGCGTGCGTACAGCCCAGACTGCGTCCTCCATGTCCTCGTCCTCCATGTCGTCGTTGAGAATACTGCGGCGCTTGCGTGTGGCCTCCAGCGTGGCCTGATGCGTGCCAACCGTCGCGAGCTTTCGCTTCTTGTCCACTATGGCGAAGTGGCTGCCCGAAGTGGGCGACGAGGCGCTGCTGGTCACACTGTCGCTGGAACTACGGCGACTCACAGAGCTGCCGCTGCCCAAAGGCGACGCCATCGCCATTGCGTCTCCTGCCCAAGCTACGGGATCTTGCAGTCTGATTTATTTATGCTCTGGTCAAGTGCACTGCAACTAATGTAGCCATCTCAGCATTAAAGCTTGAGGTGGTACACCCGAAACCTATGATAAAGAATGAACAAAAAGAGAGATTAGAAATATGATGATAAACAGGTTTATTTAGAGATTAGAGTAAAATGGAGGAAGGTGCTCAAGCTACCCCGCGCCACTTCCTCATTTTGAACAATGTGCAGAAGAACAAGAACATCAAGAACATGCTGGTGAGCGCGTCAGCCTTTGGAGTGAAAGAGGTACTCGTTGTGGGGCAGAAGAAGTTCGACTTGCAAGAGCAGGAGCCATTTTTGAGCTCCTTGAGCTGCCGGGTCACGCGTGTGGCCACTCTCAAGGACTGTAGAGCACTCTGCCAGGAGCGAGGTATCCGTATTGTGGGCGTGGAGATCATGCACGACGCCAAGAGCATTGCAGACCAACCGTTCAGCGGTGACACAGCCTTCATTATGGGCAATGAAGTGAGTGCAACTAAGATAGAGTTGGCTGGTTGTCAGCGATTAACGCATGCTTATCTAACTGTATCAGGGCAGCGGCATGAACTCGGCGCAAGTAGCCATTTGCGATGACTTTGTCTACATCCCGCAATATGGAGGCGGCACCGCCTCGCTCAACGTGACCGTCGCGGCGTCCATTATCTTGCAGAGCTTCGCCTTATGGGCCAAGCTGCCTTCTGCAGAGCGCAGCGGAGCGTAAGGCGTTGTTATCATGCCTCAATGGTATGCAATTCATTGTTTAAACAACACCTAGTTTGTCTTGGTCATGGGATTACATCTCCTTGGCCATGAAGTCTTCGTAACTCTGACCGAACAGCCGCTGCACGTCGCGTTCGATGTCGCTCTTGGACACCTTCCAGCCCGTGGCGAACAGCTTCTCGTACATGTCCACCAACACCTCGCCGATCACGTCGCGCGAGTGGCTCCACTTGTAGATGAGCTGGTCCAGCACACGCGCGTCCGAGTGCTGACTCGTGAACGCCGTGCCCAGGATCTCGATACGCATGCGTGTCAGCTCCTCGATGATCGACGGGTTGTTGCAGTACCACCAGCAGCCGTACAGGTGCAAGTTGCGGAACTTGTTGGCCGTCACCGTCACCTCATGCTGGTTCACACGCGACAAGAACGTGGCCAGGAACTTGACGCGCGGGAAATTGTTGCACAGTTTGATCAGGATGTCCACGTTGCTGGGCTTCACGCCGTCTCCAGCCACACCGTAGCGAGCGTTGATAGGACGCACGCTGTCGAATTTGAGCGCGATCGGCAGCTTCTTCTCCTCAGCCAGAGGCAACAAAACCTGCAGCAACAACTCGGCACCGTTCGGCTGAGCGCCAGCAGCAGATTTGGGTGCGTTCTCATCCGGATACTCGAAGAAAATGGGGACACTCGACATGAAGTACTCGGGTTTCATGATGTCGATCCATTTCTCCAGCAACGTGCGGACACCTGCCAGTGTATGCGGCAGCTTGAATACGTCCAGAGTCGGACCGATAGACGCCCAGTCGCCCAGTAGGATCTGGTCCACACGCAACGCCGAGCGGAAGTACTTGCGAGACCACACAGGCGGAGGAGTGTTGGTCGCCGGATCTCCCAGCCAGTGACGAGCCTCCTCAGGTTCGAACGGAATGTTGGTCATCACCGCGTACTTGAGTCCAGACAGACGGAAGACCGTGTCCACGTACTCGTCGGGGTCTTGCTGCTTGAACCATTCCTGAATGGCAGCGAGGTCGCGCTTGGCCACGAGATGGTCCAGACCCAGCAAGTGCAGCGTCGTCAACACTCCACGACACGCCTCCGACACGGGCGAGCGGTCCACGAACAAATGTTGCCAGATGAGACCAGCCTGCTTCTCCTTCGAGTACGAGTTGAACTCCTCCACTTGCATGTGTGCAGTCTGTAAGAACTCAGCCACGAGGTAGTGGTAGGTCAGGAGTTCGTTGATTCCCCAGAGCATGAGTTTGCCATGACTCGGAGGGAACAGATGCGTGTGCACGTCGACGATCTGGACACTCGCGACAGCTTCACGCACAAAAGTGGCGACTTCTTCCTTGGTAGCGAGATACTCGCTAGTGTGGTGGTTACGCAGCACGTCTTCAAGAGTTTCCAGCGCTGTCTGCTTGCCAGACACGAGACGTTGGTAGAGAGCGGCGACGTCAGCAGCGAAGGAAGCGTACGCGTCGTTGGTGAGGTCGAAGCCCTTGACGGAGCTGAGCACACTAGCAACAGCCACGCCTACACCACTGGAAACCTCGGACGAAGACTCAGCACGAGCAGACTTGGGGAAGTCGTTGCTGCTGCTCTTACTAGCTTCAAGCACATGTTGACTAGCACGCCACAGCAGTCGAGCCACACGGCCGTTCTCACCATCGTCAAACTCGTACTTACCAGTAGACAGGTTAGCTGTGAGTCCCGTGTCGTAGTTCCAGGTCTTCTCCGTAAGCGAGAAGATCGGTGCGCCGTTCTGAATAGGGTCCATTTGACCCACAAAGACTGTGGAGGCTTCACGCTTGGAATCAGGCTGCCACGGGGTCAGGAACCGCAATGCAACAGCAGTAGCAAACGCCATGAACTTGCTGGGACGGTAGTTCTCATCGTGAGAAACGTTGATGTTAACGGAGTTCAGGAGACGCACGTAAACTCTCAACAATGCGTTCTGAGAGACCCAGAAGTTGTCGAGACCAAAGTGAGGGTGTTTCATACGCACCAGCCACTCGGCGTAGAACTGACGGGCCTCTTGTTCAGCCACATCGCCAGCAATTAGAGCTGGGAGAATGTCCTCCTCGAATAGAGCATCCAGATACTCGCTGATAATAGGGAACTTCTGGAACTGGTTGGCTGTACGTTGACGAGAGAGTGCCAGTAGATACACCATGGCCGAGTTCACAGCGTTGCCCAGCGAGAACTTGAGTAGATAATCCTTGGCGATCTCCGACTTGTTAGTGCGTACGTGGACGCCAAGGATCTTGCGGAGACGTTCAGCATCCAGCGCTCCATTCAAGTCTTCAATGGCGATAGCCTTGGCCGGTAGTGGCTCGGTGAGAGGCACCAATGAGTCTCCAGCGCGGTGGTTCGTAATACGGTCCACCATCGTGTTATGGAAGTGCACTTTGGAGTCCAAATAGCCACGGAATACAGAGGAGTCATCACTCTTGACCCAGTCTAGCTCGAGCACAAGCTTCTTGATGTGATCTCCGTTGTTCGGGAAGTTGTCCGTGTTGATAATGGACAATTCGTTGTCTAAAAGCATAATTTGTGAGAAAATGTACTCGATCAGAGCTGTAAACACGTCAGATCTGTACCTGGGATAGCCTTGAAGGCAGCTTGCAAGAACTCGGCGAGATCCTTGATCACTTGGGTGCCAGACTGCAGTCCCGCCTCCGTGACGCCGAAGCCCACGTATTTGAGCTGTGGCAGCTTGTCTGGCAGCTCCAGGAACGCCGCACGGCCCTCAGCAACACCCAGAGAGCCCACCGCTGTTCAAGAACACAATAGAGATAAGTTTAAGCGTTGTATCAACTGTAGAACAGCTAATAAAGCCGTACCTTCGAGGTCGAAGACGGTCGTGTCCACATGTCCCTCCGAGTCAATGGTGTCCACCTCGTACTTGCCCTTGGTAGCAGCACAAGCCGACGCAAAGCTTGTGCCACGAGTCTGAGCCACCACTACACCCGAATCTAGAGCGCGGAACACTGGAACCAGCACAGCACGCTATAGAGACGTACAATGTTAGAGAACTGTTAAAATGTAGCAATTGTTGACAAAAAAAAATAATGTACCATGAAGCGGCCACTGCCGATGCAGACGGCACGTGTGTTATCGGCGAAGTTGGAGCCCTGGAGCGGCGTGAACATGGTCTTGGTCTCTGCTAAAGGTGGGAGATCCGAAAATGAGGACTTTACTTTATGTGGGGGCGCATTTTAGCAGAGCCCCTTGCAAACATGATCGGTGAACACGTGGATCACCCGACATCTGCGACTTGTGACGAAGCTGAAGTTTGAAGCAGATGCTCGTCATGAACGGAGTCCTGGAAACATGGTTATCATGGGATTTCCTAACAAGACGAAGCAAAAGACGATCTTTTCGCTACGGAAGAGTTTACAGCGGACCCATGCTTTGTCATGGTGGTGCAGTGGTTGCAGTGTTAACTCGGGAGCTTCGAAATGATGCTCAAAGCCCCCAACTTCCATCACTCATCAACCGCATCCAGCACTTTACGAAAGCAAATCACAAGCATCCCAGCCGCAGTTTAACGCAGAACAGGCTGCAAGTACGTCAGCAGTCTTTAACTCCAGGTGATCCCCTCTATTTACTGCACTCCCAAGACTATAATCCCTGATCTGATTGACCTATGATCGAGATCGTGGTTGAAGGTCATTCTTCGTTTTGAAAGCTCAAGCGCAAGAGGAAGACACAAAACACGATGTTCACACCACTACGAGGACAATCATTCTCTGATAAGACCGATGCTATCTGCATTGGCAGCGGTCGCTTCTTGGTGCGTTTCGACGCTCTATGATCTCTCCCTCTTTAACGGATCTCTTACCTTCATGTAGCGTTGTGTGCTGGTGCCCACGTTGCGTGCAGCTGGCAGTGCAGTGGTGGTAGCCCAGACGCGAGGCACCAGCTTCGCGTCAGCCTGTGCCAAGGCTGCGGGCAAGTACGAGGTGGATACCATCCAGAAGGACGGCAGTGTACAGACCGAGATCGTCGAGGTGGAAGCTGTGGGCTCCTTGGGAGACGCTGAGGGCCGTGCAGCTTTCATGCAGCTACCGTCCAAGCTATCCAAGCTCAAGTTCATCGGCTTCGGTGTCACAGAGAGCGGTATCGTCAAAGGTGGACCGGCCATCGTGGACCTCACCGAGCTGCTCTACAACTGCTTCACAACGCAACCCAGTACGTGTATATATAATATGAAATTATGAAGGTAGAATCTCATATTTTATACTGTTCTGTTACTACAGACAACATCATCTCGGTGATTAATACTGACAATCTACCCAAGAACGGAGATACTATCAAGAGCTTGGTGCTGGGAACGGAATGGAAGGGCCAGCCCAGTGATCTGGTTCCGTTCCGAGCCTATGTGGAGTCCAACGTGCATCTCCACAACACGATGGTAGACCGCTTAACGTCCCACCGAGCTGGTGACTCGCTGGTGCCGTTAACGGAGCCTTGGCCGACCAAAACACTGGTGATCGAAGATCTCAACGGCGTCTTGGATGCCAAAAAGCTGAGTTCTCTACCGGGTGTACACATCCGTACAACTGCGGGTCAATTGGAGCAAGATCACCTACTGAAACTGAGTATCGCTAATGCAGTACACACTGCTATGGTGTATCTGTTGGCCCTCACACGCGTGAAGACCACGTGCGATGTATTGAAGTATCCGGAGATCCGTCAGTACCTAGATCTCCTGTACGCCAAGGACATCGCGCCATCACTCGAGCTGCGTGGTATCAGTAAACAGGAGGTTCAACACACATACGACGAGTGGATGGCTCGTGTGGAGCACAAACACTTTGGCCTTGACAACTTCTGGGTCGGTCAGAATGCCATGCTCAAGTACGGGGTCAGACTATTCAGCAATGTGGAAGCCAATGTGACTAAAGATAAGAATTACCGTCCTAGTGTGTTCATGGCATTCGCGACGGCTTTGATCTTGCGATACCTGACCCCAACTCAGGCTGACTCGAGGAAGGAGGACGGTAGTGGAGAGATTTTCGTTGGTGCAATGGACTCGATCCAAGACCGTACGCCAATCTACTCTACGACTGAGAAAACGTGGGTGTATGCCAATGGATTGAGCGCAAATATCTCCACTGGCAAGTACGAGTTCTTGGATGGTGAAGAAGGCCACACTGCTAAGCTTCTCTGGAAGATTAGTCAGAAGGTATTTGGTGCTAGTAAGAGCAGCAGCAACGACTTCCCCAAGTCTGCTCGTGCTGAGTCTTCGTCCGAGGTTTCCAGTGGTGTAGGCGTGGCTGTTGCTAGTGTGCTCAGCTCCGTCAAGGGCTTCGACC